CTGTGTACTGCAGAGTAGTACATACTCTTAACTGCTGAGCCATCCGTCAGGCTCCTGTGGATAAGTTCTTAAATTGGAAAATTAGAGCTGAAACAAAGCTGAGAAAGATTTCCCGGTTTGTTTTGTTTGAGTGAGTGGCTGAAAAAAGAGAAACTTTGATGTAATGTTTTCCTTTGGTTGCCAGAAAAAAAGGAATGATTTTGAATTTCTCTTTCTTTCTTTCTTTTTTTTTTTGAATTTCTTTTTCTGTAGAATTATTTGAGAATTGATTAAGTTGTCTTCTGGTATTCAGAAAAAATACACTATGTTTTAAAAGTTTTTATTGGCTACTTGTAGTTGGTGTACACCTTTAATCCCACTACTAGGGAGGCAGGAAGGTGAACTTCTGTGAATTGAGGCCAGCCTGGTCTACATAGTGGGTTCCAGGACAGCCAGGGCTACAGTCATAGTAAACCCTGTCTAAATCACTCCTACCCCACCCATGTTTTTCTCCTGTAAATGAATGCTTGCCTGCATGTATGTCTGTGCACCACTTGCATGCCTAGTGCCTGAGGAGGCCAGGAGGTTTCAGATTCCCTGGTACTGGAGTTACAGATGGTTGTGAGCTAAGGCGCCTTGTGGGTGTTAGAAATCAAACTTCATAGGATGGAAGAGCAGCCAGTGCTCTTAACCACTGAGCCATCTCTTCTTTCTTTTTTCTTTCCTTCTTTCTTTCTTTTTTTTTCCTTCTTTCTTTCTTTTTTTAGACGCTATGTATGTCTGGTTGACCTGGAACTCACAGAGATCCTCTTGCCCTGCCTCTGCCTCCCGATTGCTGGGATTAATAAAGGCATGCAACACCGTGTCAGCCAAAATGTACACTTGATCTATTGGGACCTTGGCTTAAAAAAAAAAAAAAAAAAAGGCTAAGAGTTTGTTTGCAGAGGAAAGGAACTTTTTCTGGGGTTCCTTTTAAAATTTGAGGAATTCTTGCCTTACTAATTGCTTCCGGCTGGAAGAAAATAGCTGCCACAGATCTGACCAGAAGAGGTCAGTGAACCGGTTATAGTAGTGGACACCTTTAATCTCAGCACTTGGTCAGCCAGAACTACATGGAGAGATCCTATCTCAAAAAAAAAAGTCAGGAAATTACCATCTGAGGGCCCTATCCAAGCTAAAAATGAAGAGGAAGCATCAAGGAAGGAACGCTGCAAGCTGGAGTCTGCAGTATCCCAGGCACAGAAAAACAGTGTAGAAGGGTAGTCTAGTGAAGGAACTTGACAAAGCTGCCTCGCTAGCTCAGGTGTGACAGTCTAGGTTTAACCTAAGAGTTTGCTCTTCCTGTGTCCTTGAAAGTATGAACAGTATGTTAAATGTTTCCCATGATTGATTTTGTGAGTACGAACAGTTGTCTACTTGTATGCACAACATGTGTATACAGTGCCCACGGAGTTCGGAAGAGAGCATCAGTTCCCTGGAACTGGTGCTGGGAACTGAACCCGGGTCCTCTGCTACACAGCAAATGCTCTTAACTGATGAGCAATCTCTCCAGCACTGATGTTTCCCATCTTTTATTTGTTTTTCTGGTGCTGAGGATTAAACCTAGTGCTTCATGGGTGCTAGACAAACCTGAGGCATGTCCACCAAGTTTATTTTGAATAAATCGTCAAATATGCCGGGTGGTGGTGACATACATCTTTAATCCCAGCACTCAGGAGGTGGAGGCAGGTGGATCTCTGAGTTCCAGGGCAGCCAGGGCAACACAGAAAACCCCTATCTAAAAACAGTGTCAAATATGTCAGCCACCCAAATAATTCACATATTCATTACATTGTTAATATCAGTCTTCTGTACTTTCTGGGGAAGGATGTTTTTTCCAATAGGTATGTCAGGTATCAGAATTCATCTCCAGAATAACAACAACAACAACAACAAAAAATCATGTTGGGGTTTCAGTTGTACTTAATTGGAGCAGATGTAGTCTTTAGATATTTAGAAAAATGTCATTCCCACCAAGTAGAAACCAGTCAGCTGGGTAAAGTGGTGGTAGTGGGGCAGAAGAACTGGGAGCTAAGTATGGCGGACCATATCTAATTCCAGTTCTTAGGAGGCTGAGGCAGGAGGATTGCCAGGAGTTTGAGGTCAACCTGGGCAACATGATAAGGCTTTGTCTAGTGAAATAAAAAAAGCCACACATGTTAGCACAAGGGACTTGAACTGTAAAAGTAAAGGGGCCAGGTGAAAGTTTGCTGGTCCTTTAGTTAACCGGGTCCTGAGCTCTTCAGGAGGTTCTCTTTTTTTGAGTTCCTGGATGTGTGAGGGTCAGGATGCCGCTCTTGTACAGGTGTATGAGGTCATTTGATGGAGGTGGTCGTCATACTATACTGATGTAGCTGGTCTCATTTGCTCATATCTATTTCCTTTCAGAGTCTAATAGAAGTGGTAGTCTGATAGAAGTGGTAGTTGTGATTCCTTCAAAAGCTTAAATCAGAGCCACACTCATCTTTGATTCTAGCACTCAGAAGGCAGAGGCAGGCCAAATTCTTGAGTTCAAGGACAGCCAAGGCTACCTAGTGAGACCCTGTCTCAAAATAACCCTTTCCTCCAGAAAAACCAACCAACAGCAACAACAAACCCCAAACTTAACTGTGGTGGTTCTGCTTGAAACCCTAGTATTCGTGAGGCCAGGTAAGGAAGATTTCACACAAGTTGAGGCCAGCCTGTGTACATTGTAAATTCCAGGTCAGCCAAGGGTTACATGTGAGACCTGTCTCAAAACAAGCACACAAAAGCACAAACTACCACCCAAGTAAAGTGTTAGGTGCATAGTGTGAGGGAGAAAAGTCTTGAATATTTCAGGAAAGAGCACTGACATGTTAGCCAGTTCTCCTAACTACCAAGAGGTCTGCTAGTATTCCTCTTGGACATACTAGAGGCACTAAAACAGTGCCAGAAATAATCAGAGTGGGTAGAAATTTAAATTTTTTTCCTAAACACATTCTTTATCATTCTTTATGTACTTCAGCTATCCTCCCTCTTCTTTTCCTTCCTCCCCTCCCTCCTCTTTCCTTTCCTTTCCTTCCCTATTTCCTATTTCCCATTTTCTCCTCCCCCCATCTCTGTCTCTCTGTCTTTCTGTCTTTCTTAAGACATACATAGCCCTAACTGTCCTGGAACTCACTATGTAGACCTGGCTGCTGGCCCCACACTCACAGAGCCCCATCTGCCTCTGCTCTCCCTCCTCCCAAGTGCTGTAATTAAACGCATGTACCACCACATGGTCAACTTTTAAAAATTTTAAAATATAAATATTAATCAAAAGAGATAATAGCGGTCAGGCAGTGGTGGCTCATGCCTTTAATCCTAGCACTCGGGAGGCAGAGGCAGGCGGATCTCTGTGAGTTTGAGGCCAGCGTGGTCTACAGAGCGAGTTCCAGGACAGGCTCCAAAACTACAGAGAAACCCTGTCTCAAAAAACCAGGAAAAGTAGTGGCGCACGCCTTTAATCCCAGCACTCGGGAGGCAGAGCCAGGCGGATCTCTGTGAGTTCGAGGCCAGCCTGGGCTACCAAGTGAGTCCCAGGAAAGGCGCAAAGCTACACAGAGAAACCCTGTCTCGAAAAACCAAAAAAAAAAAAAAAAAAAAAAAAACCAGGGGGAAAAAAGAAAAGATAATAGCAAAAAACAAACCAGGAAAATGTAGCTCAAATTAGGTTATTCTGACAGTGCTTCTCTTCTTCTGGGTTTTTGGAGTTACAAATTGAGAGTTATTATACTTGTTTATGCAGTGCTAGGAAATTTCATTCTAGTACACCCAATTAGAGTGTATTGAGAAAACCAAAGAGTGCGGGCCATGCTAAGTCATACCTGTAATCTTAGCAGTTAGGAGTTTGATCCCAGGAACTCATGTAAAAAGCTAGATGTGGGGGACTGGAGAGATGGCTCAGAGGTTAAGAGCACTGGCTGATCTTCTAGAGGTCCTGAGTTCAATTGCCAGCATCCACATGGTGGCTCACAACCATCTGTAATGAGATCTGGTGCCCTCTTCTGGCCTGCAGGCAGAACACTGTATACATAATAAATAAATAAACCTTAAAAAAAAAGCTAGATGTGTAAAAAGATGCATAAAAGTGGATGTATAATCTCAGTACTCTTACTGCAAGACGGAAAACAAAGACAGAAGAATTGGTTAGAAGATTTGGGGCTAGCTAACCTGGAACCTACTGTACAGTTGTGGAACAGAGGCCTTGACCTAGCAAGTAGAAGGAGATGGCTTACCAACAGTTTATTACCTGCTGGGCCATTTTGCTGGCTCTACTGTGCTCGGTTTAATGCTTTATACTTGATCTTAGCCAAAAGGCAGGGAAGTGATTCATACTGTTGGTTTTATATCTCTAATAATGGGTTTTATTTTGTGCTATGATACATGAGGCTGGGTATCAGATTATACAGTGCTCAGCAAGTTATGCACCACTGAATTATGTTTCTAGTTCAGTTCTGGTAGTGGTAAGTTTAAATAATTGTGAGTATAGCTCTGGTTTCTGGTGAACATCAACAGTTTTAATTTTTTTGGCTGCCAGAGATGGCTCACCAAGTCACTTGCACACAAGCTTAGTGACTTCAGTTTGATTCCTGGAACCATGTAAAGGTAGGAGAGAACCCAGCTTTCAAGTTATCTGGTCTCTACACATTTGTACATGTGCCACACATGCTAATAATAAATACATATTTTTGCGTAATTTTTTAATTGCTGTAATTTTTCAGTTAGGGGAAGGTTTAGAATTTCTCGATTAATTTTGATAGCCCATTCTAATGGTTAGGGTAATTGTAGTTGATGACATAGTAAATCAGATCTTTGGGTTTCTGCCATCTGTTGAGGTAAGGGATGAAATAGATGTGTAGATGGACTACTCTTTTAACCTCTTTCATGGTCAAGTTACTTAAACTTTTCTATGTTTAAGGTTACTTTGATAAGATCTTATTAAGAGCTCTTTGGAATGTGAAATGTTTTCTTTCTTACAGATATTGAAGCACAGATTCGAGAAATCCAGGGCAAGAAGGCAGCTCTTGATGAAGCCCAAGGAGTGGGCCTTGATTCCACAGGTTATTATGACCAAGAGATTTATGGCGGAAGTGATAGCAGATTTGCTGGATACGTGACATCAATTGCTGCAACTGAACTTGAAGATGTAAGTTGTAAGAGGCAAGGTTTTTGATTTTGCTTTTGTTTTTGAAAAAGTTTTGAAAAGAAATAGAGGGGATTTTTTTCTGTTTGAGTTGCATGGTTAAAAGGAGAGAGGACCCCATCCCCCCTGCTGTGTAATCCTAGCCGACCTGGAACTGGTTATGTAGACGGACCATGCTTGGCCTCAAACTGTCTTGTCTTCTAAGTGCTGGGACTGAAGGTGGTTACTCCCTGTTTTTTGATACAGTTTTTCAGGATCTGCCTATTTTTTGCCTCCTGAATGTTGGAGCCCTCCCCATGCCCTCAGATACTTCCTGAAGTGCTCAGTTTTTACCCCCAAGACAGGGTTTCTTTGTGTAGCCCTGGCTGTCCTGAAACTCATTTTATAGACTGGGTTGGCCTTGAACTCACAGATGTTCCATTTTGGCTGAACAAAATAGAACATCAGCCGGGCGGTGGTGGCACACACCTTTAATCCCAGCACTCGGGAGGCAGAGCCAGGCGGATCTCTGTGAGTTTGAGGCCAGCCTGGGCTACCAAGTGAGTTCCAGGAAAAGGCGCAAAGCTACACTGAGAAACCCTGTCTCGAAAAACCAAAAAAAAAAAAAAAAAAAAAAAAATAGAACATCAAAGGTTTTTTTATGTAAATTCTACATAGCTTTTCTTTTGACCATCTCAAACATTCAAATTTGGTGAAATAGCTATTTAATCTGTTTGTGCATGATTGCAATTAGACAAAACTTATATAGATTATCAAACTTGCTGTTGATGATGTTTTGTTTTGAGACAGGATCTCATTATATAACCTTAGTTGGCTTTCAACTCACCATGTAGACCATGCCTCTCAAGTGCTGGGATTAAATGTGTGCCCCCAGTGCTCCCCCCCCCCCCCCTAGTGCTTGGCTCAAACTGGTTATTTTTGTAAAATTCAAGTCACATCTTTGTCACTGGCACTTTTTCCCCTTGGTACAAAGGTGTTTATGTGATTGTCCCAAAGATTAAATTCTAGAGGCTGATCAGAGACTAGTGTTTGCAGAGGATGTCCCCTACCCTCTGTGTATATGTGCATGCGTGTGTGTTGAGACAGTGTTAGTTCATACTGGCCTTAACCAAGTGCTAGGATTAGGAATCCAGTGTTGGCACTACTACCCTTGTCCTAGCACGCCATTCTCCTGCATGTTCTAGAAGCTAAGAAACAAGGGTCTTCATTTTAAAGTGAATTTATGGATAACCTTTCTTGAGAGTTAACAAGTTGTACACTTTTTATACTAGAAAAGAAGGAGTATATGTTGCTGTGTAAACATACTATTAAGGAAGTCAGTACATTTGATAACAATTACTGTTTACTTATTTCTGTGATTAAATAAAGTGAAGAGTTCGAAATAAACCTATGATAGTTGCCAAATTATACATTTTTATGTTCTGACATTTGTTTGACTTTTTGGGTGTGTTTGATTGCAGGATGACGATGACTACTCATCATCTACAAGTTTGCTGGGTCAGAAGAAGCCTGGATATCATGCCCCTGTGGCATTGCTTAATGATATACCACAGTCAACAGAACAGGTGACTTCAAAATTTATTCAGTTTACAAAGAGGGACTGAGTTCTAGTGGAAGCACAGAAGTTTTAGCAGTCAATTCTGAGACTATTTTGAGAGAAGAGCTGACTTGGGAGAATCAGAAAGAACTGTTTGGTAAAGGCATCATTACATGAAGTGTTGACTTCTGTAAACTGATCAGCCATACACACTTTTTCTTTCTTTTTTTAAAATTTTTTTATATTTTTTATTTTTTTGCAGTTGTAACCATTTTTAAGTTCATAATTCAGTGGCATGAATTACATTCAGGATATTAATTACACTCACGATATTCATTAATTACATTCATGATATTAATTACATTTGTGGTATTCATTGATTACATTCGCAGTATTCATTCAATAACTATATTTATGATATTAATTACATTAATTATATTGATTTATTACATTCATGATATTATGTCCTGATACTACTGTCCATTTGTGGGGCTTTTCCATCACATAAAACAGAGATTCTGTACTTAGGAAATCATTACTCTATATTCCTTTCTTGTCTATCTTGAGATAAACGTCTAGTCTTTCTGCCTATATATGAATTTGTATATTCTATGTATTTCATGTACCACAATTCTATAGTATTTGTCCTTTTTTTAAATGTAAAAACATTTTATGTACAACTGCGAGAGAAATAACACACAGATAGCTTGAACATAAAAACAGGTTGTAATTCAAAAGTCCAGGGTTATTTGAAACTGGAAAATATTTTCTCTGTAGAAAATAGTAAAAATTATAACATTTTTACATAAATGGTTTGTTTATTTGAAGTGTGTCTGGTGGGGAAGTGTTGGTCATGTGATAGAGTGGTTATTAAATGAAACAATCCTTTTTCCAGTATGACCCGTTTGCTGAACATCGTCCTCCAAAGATTGCAGACCGGGAAGATGAGTACAAAAAGCATAGGCGGACCATGATAATTTCCCCAGAGCGTCTTGATCCTTTTGCAGATGGTAATTCTTTCCCACTTTTCTATAAGTATTCAGAAATTTATTTTAATTAAGTTGTCTTTAGCCCTTTGATTTTTTTTGGCATGCTTATGAATTTGCTTTTGTTTTTTTAAAGACCCCCATATAGATTTGTATAGATTTGGTTGAAGTCACAGATGCCATAGTCTTCATCTTTATAATGCAAGTTTTCTTTCCAGGTAGAAGGACAAGAAAATAATGAGCCAATGCCATAGAAACGCAAAGGGTTAAAGGTTTTTCTTTTACTTTTGTTTTGGGTACTCTTGGTATACTTTGAACAAATGTGGTTTTCTGCTCAAAATACTTCAAATTATTGCAAGTTTTCATTCCAAATTCTAGAGTTTTGGATTGTTACTTTTGAGAAATTGTTTCTCACACTAGAGTCCCCTCATATCCTTAAAGCTTAGTAAATGCACCTACTTTGCTCTATGCAAATTTGTAGTTAAAACGAAAGTTACGTACAAAGACTTTGGTGTCTGTAATAGTTGGAGTCTGTCTTGCTAATTGTAGTGTGCAAGGGGCATAGTGAGCCTGGTGGAAGCTCTCCTCAGGTGTGTGAGTGAGTCCCACCCTCAAAACTAAGTGCCTGGTTTAAAATAGATCTGCTGCAGGTTCACAAGGTAGACTTTCAGCCTGCATGAACTAATAGGGATATTCTTTTCTTTACTTGCATAATTGTAATTGATTTAAACATGTATGTCAGAATTCACAGGCCCATACTAACTGTCCTTAATTTCTTTCCTACAGCAGTACTGCTATATGCCAGTCCTGTCTGCATTCTTAAGGGTGCAGTTCAACACATCCTCTCTAGATTATGGTGAAAAAGTATTCCAAAGGAAGTCTTATCAGAGCTAGTGTCAGAAAGAATGACACTACCAATTGGGCATGATCGTCAGCATAGGAGATGTCTTAGAATTTTATTATTTTGTCCTAAATTTTAATGCTATACTACTTGTATAGCTAATTATCACATTTCTAAAGCATAGTGTGCCTTTGTTGATCTTGTTATATGATGTTTGGGCTTCTTTAAGATATTTTGCAGTTTGAAAAGCAAATACTGAAACTTTAATCAAGAGACTAACACATCTCTTTGTACACCACTTTTCTTTTGTGTGCATTGTAATAACTCGTAGAAATAATATATCTTAAGTAATATATTTCCAGTTGTAATTGTACTTTCTAAGAAATAGAATTATATTTTGGGTCAAGAAAGAAAATTTAAAAAGCATGAAGCCCTTTTTAGTAATGTGACATGAGAGTAAGATTGTAGGTATATTAGATTTTCTAAGTTACAACTGTTTAGATCACTGTATGAAGAACTTATGTAGTCAGTTACTGTAGTCAGGATTTTAACAGCTTGCAACAGGTAATGTTTTGAATATAAATATCTTTCCAAAGTGTTACTAATGGTAAAGAGATAATTTTCTAGGCTTCTATTCTGCTGCTTGAAGTCAGAACTGCTGATGGAGACAAAGGCACGAAAGTGTACGTATTCCGGATTAGCAACCCAGGAACCCATCACTTCTGAAGACTCTAAACTGTGCTGTCATTTTGCTTTATCTATGCATTAAAATAATTGTTTTAAACTGCTGTAGATATGTTTGTGTTCAAACAGGTTAAATTGATCAGCAAACTCAATAAAAAGTAAGATGTATAATTATCAAAGTTTTCCACCAAAAAATAAATTAAATGATTATGGAATAACATAATATTAGAGCAGGGCAGAGAAATCAGTTGAACCTAATATCCTTTATTTATTGTACTCTTGTCCTGTTGCTGTTCTTTTCTGCAGGAGGGAAGACCCCTGACCCTAAAATGAATGCCAGAACTTACATGGATGTTATGCGGGAACAACATCTGACTAAGGAAGAGGTAGGAACTCACTTCTCAGCATAATGGCTGTGAAGTAATTGAAGAGAGTTTGAGAGAAGTTTACAGTTTAGTTTTTGTTGTTCACAGCAATTTTTCTTTCCCTTGAGACAGGGTTTTTCTGTGTAGCCCTGACTGTTCTGGAACTCACTCTGTAGACTAGGGTGGTCTTGAACTCACAAAGATCCACCTGCCTTTGCCTCCTGAGAGCTGGAGTGCTGGGATTAAAGGTGTATGTCACTGCTGCCCAGCAATTATTTTTTAAAGATGGTCTTATGTAGCCCTGGCTGGCCTAAAACTCAGTTCTGCCTCTCAAGTGCTGGAATTAAAGGTGGGACCAAGCATGATTGGACTGTAGTATTTCATTTGTAAAAATTACAAATTAAGTTAAAAAAATTATCCCAGAATTAGATCACCTTTGAAACTTGATATTTTGATTTTCTGGAGCTCTTTGGTCTCCTCTGTGTGCATATATGCTTGGGGAGGTGTGTAGGGAGTTTAGTATACCTCAGGGAGCTAGGGGTCACATTAGTTCTTAAAGAATCCCTACTGCTCATTTGGTTTGGATGTAGATCAAGAATTCTGAGTGATCCTTCTGGCTTACTAATTCTGTGTTAGCACAGAAGCAGTGCTGGGAAGCTAAACCTCAACTGTTTTTTGTAATTTTTGTTTCATCACACATTTGTGTGTATATGCTTATGTCATGGTGTGCATGGAGGTAAGAGGACAGTTGGCAGGAGGCAGTTCTGTTCTACCCAGTGCGTCCCAGGGACTAAATGTAGGTGTCAGGCTTGGTGACAATTGCTTTTACCAGCTGAGCCATCTTGCTGTCCCCAGTCTTGTTCTTTTTGATTATTCTTTGAAGTAGGGTCTTTCTCTAGCCCAGGTTAACCTAGAACTCACTCTGTAGCTCCATAGTTACAGGCTGGTCTCCAACTCAACGGAATCTCCCTACCTCTACCTCTTGAGGATTAAAGTGCACACCACCATAACTGGCTGGGGTTGTTTTAATAGCTACTGTGTCTTTATTAATAACATAATTAAATGAAGTTTGTTAGGTGAATTAAAAGAGAAGTGGAGCCTCATTTTAGAATGAAAGAATAAACTAAATGCATTTGTTATGACATTAAGTTGCTTTTTGTTTTAAAGTTTTTTTTTTTTTTTAAGATTTATTTATTATATATACAGTATTCTGTCTGCATGCATGCCTACATGCCAGAAGAGGGCACCAGATGTTGTTATAAATGGTTGAACCATCATATCTGCTGGGAATTGAACTCAGGACCTCTGAAAGAGTAGAGTGCTCTTAACCTCTGAGCCATCTCTCTAGCCCAACACTGTTTTATTTTTGCTTTTTTTGTTCTTTTTTGTTTTTGAGACCAGAGTCTTGCTATGTATCCTGGTTGGTGTGGAACTCTCCATTGGTCTTAAATTCAAAGAAACATTTCTGCCTTAGACTATGAATCACAGGCGTGTGCCACTACCCCTGGCTTATACTCTTAGTTTTATATTTTTCATTTCTCTGCTGTTAGAGTGGAGATCTTATTTACTGACTAGAGATTTTACTTTACAGCTTTAGAGTGTAGGCTGTTAAAATTCTGGAGTCGCTTATGTACTGTTCAGGACGAAAGGCAGTGCTGTAGAACTGCAAACACATGATAGCAAAGGTACGGGTCAGTGCCAGAACTCGGGACAGAAAATAGAATGAGTGGGATACCAAATAACTTACTAAATACAAGTGAGGATACTAGTGGCATAAAGACTTAGCTGACAGAACTCTTCCCCTCCCATTTGCTGATGCGGGAATTGAACAGAATCTCAGGCATGCCGGGTACCTGTGAGTTTTTTCCTCTAATGAAACAATGTGAAAGATAAGTATTCTGCTCTTTCTAATGTTTTTCAGAGAGAAATTAGGCAACAACTAGCAGAAAAAGCTAAAGCTGGAGAACTAAAAGTCGTCAATGGGGCAGCAGCATCCCAGCCCCCCTCAAAACGAAAGCGGCGCTGGGATCAGACCGCTGACCAGACTCCTGGCGCCACTCCCAAGAAGCTGTCAAGTTGGGATCAGGCAGAGGTAATTTTTTCTTTTGATTGCTTCTTAAATTTTTCTCTATGGAGTGGTTTAAGTTTATTTGACAGAAGTTTATTTTCTCATTTATGGAAGGTCAAAGTCTGGATCTTACTGCTAGCAGGGTGCTGTCTGGTGAGAGCACTTGGTCACTGTTTTCTCGTAACTCTTTTCTGTCAGTCTTGCGAGGATTCGATTTTCTTGTCTCTTTTTATCTCATTTAACTTTGAATCTCACCAGTCTCTGACTGCAGTCACATCAGAGGTTACAACCTCAGTACCTGAATGGGGACAGGGCGTTGTTCATTCCATGTGCTGAGGAATGGACTGTTCTCTTTGAACTAACTTCCTTCCTTCCTTCTTTCCTTCCTTCCTTCCTTCGTTCCTTCCTTCCTTCCTTCCTTCCTTCCTTCCTTCCTTCCTTCCTTCCTTCCTTCCTTTTTTCCTTCCTTCCTTCCTTCCTTCCTTCCTTCCTTCCTTCCTTTTTTCCTTCCTTCCTTCCTTCCTTCCTTTTTTCCTTCCTTCCTTCCTTCCTTCCTTTTTTCCTTCCTTCCTTCCTTCCTTCCTTCCTTCCTTCCTTCCTTCCTTCCTTCCTTCCTTCCTTTTTTCCTTCCTTCCTTCCTTCCTTCCTTCCTTCCTTCCTTCCTTCCTTCCTTCCACTCACTCATTCATTCACGAGGTTTTGCCTTATAGCCCTGGCTACCCTGGAACTTGCTGTATAGGCCAGGGTAGCATCACACTCTGAGATTGACCCACCAAGTGCTGGGATTAAAGGCATGCATCACTACCGCCTGGCAGAATCAATGTTTTTAGCTGCTGAGATATTTCTCCCACCCTCCTTCTTGCCCTCCTTTTTCTTTTCTCTGTTTTTTTAAGATAGGGTTAGATGGGGTCTTGTATAGCCTTAGCTTGCCTTAAACTTGCTGTTTAGACCAGGTTGGCTTTGAACATACAGAGATCTGTCTCCTGTGTCCCTAGTGCTGGGATAAAGGTGTGTGCAATCTGTCCACTTCCATTCCTTAGACTTGTATATTTGTCTTAGTTGGACAGGTTTGGATATTTAATAGTTTTTTTTTTTGTTTGTTTGTTTCTTTGTCTTTGAGACAGGGTCTCATGTAGCCTGGCTCACCCTTTTTATTGATTGATTGATTGGTTGATTTTTTAATTACATTCATGGTATTCATTAATTACACTCATGATATTAATTACATTTGTGGTATTCATTGATTACATTTGCAGTATTCATTCAATAATTATATTTATGATATTCATTAATTACATTAATTGTATTGATTTATTACGTAATGATATTATGTCCTGATACTACTACTCATTTGTGGGGTGTTTCCATCACACAAAACAGAGATTCTGTACTTAGGAAATCATTGCTCTATATTCCTTTGTTCTCCATCTTGCTGGCTCACCCTTAAGTCATGTTGTAACTGAGAAAGGATGACTTGAGCTCTTGATTCGCCCACCTCTACCTCCCAGGTGTTGGGATTATAGGTACAATCCACCATACCTTGCTGACATTTCAACGTTCTTTTTGAAGAGGAAATGATGAGTTCCTTGTATCATCTTTCTGCCCCTTTGGCTTCCTTGGTGTTCTTATATCTGCTGGATTCACAACTGTCAGCCTGTTCTCTTTACTCTGCTTCGTCCTTTCCAGAAACACACTTTGAATAGTGCTACTTGGAAGTACAGATAGGATCTAGTTTGTTTTAATGACTCTATTTCTGTCACTGTGCTCTAAATTGTTGTTAGTGCTAGCTTAGCCCACTGTGTATTATTTACATATCATGAAAAACTCATCTTTAACTAATAGTATTTTCCCATTTTCGGGATTGGTCTACATTAAACCCAATACATAGTTGTCAGTTTAGTTTAATGTGGGAGCCCATTTTCAGGTTTCCTAGTGGCTTTACCCAGCTGGTCTGCATAGAGAGGATGATTGGACCACAGGCCTGGGTGCAGGTGTCTGAGATGGTCTGCAGTTGGCTGTGCTTGGGGGAGGTCTTTTGCTCCACCCCTTAGCATTTCTATTAATACCCTATGGCAGAGACAGTCAGGGCTCGTTGGAATAGGTTCCAGGCCGTCTCGAGGCTATCCTGTATTTTCCGTTTATCTCCACACTCTAAATCTTTCTAGCTAATATTTCCTGCTGCTCCAACTCAAGAGCACTCTGGGGAAATGTGGGGGTGGTGGATAGCCCCCCCCCACTCACAGTTTAAGATAGATCCTGAAGACTCTCCATTTTCTCATTGAGAGAATGTGATCCTGCTATGCATAATTCATGACTACTTACATTTATTTTTCTATTTTTTCCCTTTTTTTTGTGTGTGTATGTGAATGCGCATGTGTACATGTAGAGGTCAGAGATAAGCCATAGAAGTTGGTTTTCTCCAAGTGAGTCTTAGTGATGGAATTCAAGTTGTAAGGTTTGGTGTCAGGTACCTTTACCCACTGAGCCATCTTCTGACCCATCCCTAACTTTAATTCTGTTGGTGTTCAAAGCTAATTTAAAACAAGATTTATTGGCTCAGAGGTTAAGAGCACTGGCTGCTCTTCCAGAGGTCCTGAGCTCAATTCCTAGCAACCGCATGGTGGCTCACAACCATCTGTAGTTAGATCTGGTGCCCTCTTCTGGCCTGCAGGCATACGTGCAGGCAGAACACAGTATGCATAATAAATAAATAAATCTTAAAAAAAGGTTTATTATTTACACATGTATGTGTGTCTATGTGTGGGTTTGTGCAAGTGTGAGTACAGTGCCAGTGAAGGCCAGAAGAGGGCGTTGGATCCTCTGAAGCTGGAGTTTCAGGTGTTGTGAGTTGTCTGATTTAAGTTCTGGGAACTAAACTTGGATACCCCCCCACCCTTGTTTGTTTGCTTTGTTTTGGTTTTTCAAAATAGGGTTTCTCTGTGTATCCCTGGCTGTCCTGAAACTTGCTCTGTAGACCAGGCTGGTCTCAGACTCAGAGATTCTTTTCTCTCTGCTTCCTGAGTGCTGAGATTAAAGTCTCGTGCCACCATGCCTAGCCCAGAGCTATGTATTGGGTTTAATGTAGACCAACCCTGAAAATGGGAAAATACTATTAGTTAAAGATGAATTTTTCATGGTATGTAAATAATACACAGTGGGCTAACCTAGAGCTAACAGCAATCCACAGTGACAGAAATAGTCATTAAAACAAACTAGATCCTAGCTGTACTTCCAAGTTTTTAAAGACAAGATAAACTGTTTTACTCAGAATAGCTTAGCTGTGTACTTGTAACTAGACAGAAGAGTTTTTTATTTTTATTTTTATTTTATTTTTTGGTTTTTTTGAGACAGGGTTTCTCTGTGTAGCTTTGCGCCTTTCCTGGAACTCACTTAGTAGCCCAGGCTGGCCTCGAACTCACAGAGATCCGCCTGGCTCTGCCTCCCTAGTGCTGGGTTTAAAGGCGTGCGCCAACACCGCCCGGTTCAGAAGAGTTAATTTTTTAAAAAAGATTTATTACTTTTAGTTACAGGTATGTCTGTGAATGCACACCACACGTGTACAGATATCCATGGAGGTCAGGAGAAGGTGTCAGAGTTGGAGTTACAGGCTGCGAGGAGCCACCAGTGTAGTGGTAGGAACTGGACTCAGGGTCTTTGCTAGAGCAGCTAAACGCTCTTACCTGCTGAGCTGTCTTCAGTTGAGTCTGATGGGTTTGTATAACAACCGTCCTGACTCAGACCCATCAGCTCATTTATGGAAAGTAGGAGGCATGACAGGAGGATTCATAGTCCCACGTCTTCTTTGGATAGGAAGAGCAAATTAAGATTGTGAATAATTCATTTTTGTTACTTACCTTATCCAGAATTTTTCCATCCTGAATAACAGTCTTCTTTAGCCGAATGTGGTGCTGTATCCTTATAATCCCTCCCTAGGGGGGGTGAGGCAGGATTATGAGTTCCAAGCCGGTTTCTGGGCTACTTCATCCCACAAATATAAAACGTACCCCTCTCTCCCTGTGCCACCACCATGACACTGCATATTTGAGCTGTTCTGCACTCTTGGGTCTCACTTTAATCCACCTCTAGTCTTTTCTTCCCACTGATCTTGGCAGCATCACAGTAGGTAAAGGTATTTGCTGCCGAGCCTGCCAGCCTGCATTCCACACATTTGTAACTTTAGTCTTCAACTACATTAAAGACCCCAGAAGGATATACTATTACCTGAGAAATGAGAAAGGACACAAGCAACTCTCGGGAGTCTTACGAGAGTAGACAGAGACAGCTGGCAGCCTGGACAGTCATCCAAAGTTCTCTTGTAAAGTTGGGGCATCTGTCTTTAACTCACAGGCCTAGAGTCTCTCAGTCACTTTTCTCTGTGTCCTGTAGAACATCTGGCAGTTTCCTCTGTGAAGCAGGAACCTGAAGGACCATTTTGCCAAGCAAAGTTCAGTGGTCACCTTCCCATGGGTCCTGCATGTCCAGTCGATCAAGCAGTCCAGGCAAGAACAGTTTATTGCCCAAATGGCTATTTTTGCCAAGAAGATGATAAACTCCATATGGAGTTTCTTTGATGCCCATCCTCCTCTCTGAAGTAAATGGGTGCTGCCAGGAGCAGACATGTCTCACTCTCTAGAAAGTCTAAATTTTTAAAACATCTTAAATGCCATATTCTGTAGGTCTTTGAAGTGTTTGAAGATTGCCTATCTATCTGAAATATATCTATGTATCCCTAGAAAACTTACTAACATGGCTACAAGTATGATTATCATAGATGACTAAATATTAATCTATTTCTTAATTATCCATTACAATTTTAAATGAGCTGTACAAACATAATACCTTAAACAAGAGTAGAAATTACATACAGTGTAACAAAATTAACTTTAAATTTGTATCAATAAACTAAAATCTATAGCAATGTAAAACTTTTCAAACAAGTTGTTGCTCTTTAAAAGTAGATTCAGTAATCTACCCTTTCATCCTGTCATATCTGTAGCATATCCTCTTTTCTTCTTTAGAGAGAGATTACATTTATAATCAACCTGATTTAAATAAAAATATTGGTTTTTCTCTGTCCCACACCAGAGGGCTCTCCTGATTTGGGACAAAAGAATCTCTCAACCTTTTTTTTTTTAAGGAATATGTTTGGGTTTAGAGAAGGAGTGAGCCAGTTCCATCTCCAAAGCCAGCTTGGTATATTCGGGAATTTGGGCGTAGCTTCTCTCTCTCTCTCTCTCTCTCTCTCTCTCTCTCTCTCTCTCTCTCTCTCTTTTTTAAAACTGCAGCTCTGGCTTTTTTATTTTTTATTTTTATTTTTTTTTTTAAGATTTATGTATTTATTATGTATACAGTGTTCTGTCTGCATATACACCTGCAGGTCAGAAGAGGGCACCAGATCTCATTATGGATGGTTGTGAGCCACCATGTGGTTGCTGGGAATTGAACTCGGGACCTCTGGAATAGCAGCCAGTGCTCTTAACCTCTGAGCCATCTCTCCAGCCCTGGGCATAGCTTCTCTTACTGCTTCCTGCTGGAGGGGGGTGCTGTATCTTAAGGGGACACAAAGACAATTTTAGGATTATGGAGTAGTCCGTGAGGGTGTATCGTCTGAGCCAGTTGCCTTGAAACCGTTCTGGATGTTGGATCATCTGGGCCATGGTGTCATCGGAGATCTTTCTGGGAGTCTTGGCTGGTCAAACCTTAATCTGGAACAAATCCATAGCCTCTGGCTTTCTGCGGACACAAAAGCAGAGCCTCCTTTCCAAAGCAACATATCTTTACATTCAAATTTTGAAGTCAAGGTACCTTTAAATATAGATACTGACCTAACTCAACAGCTTTTATGATCAAATGTTTTTCTGCAGTTAAAAATCCCAAAGATAGGGGGCTGGAGAGATGGCTCAGTGATTAAGAGCACTGACTGCTATTCCAGAGGTCCTGAGTTCAATTCCCAGCAACCACATGGTGGCTCACAACCATCTGTAATAAAATCTGACATGCAGGCAGAACACTGTATATATAATAAATAAATAAATCTTTAAAAAAAAATCCCAAAGACAACACAATCCAGATTTTCTGTGTAATATCCATCTTTACATGGCTTATTTTTATACTACCTTTACTGTCTCTTTAAAGACTTTATTTTTAAAAACTATTTCTTTATATAACTGTATATATTACTTTTTCTCTCTCTTCGAAGCTTACGTACATTTTTACACACATGGTAAAACATTTAAAGTCTTGTTCCATCTGAATCTGTCTTATTGTGAATCTGTTGTTTTAAACTGCAGCATTACTAGGGCTAAAATAGCAGCTGTCGCTGGTGGCTCTGCCCACTTCAGCTTCCCATCATGGTGGTGGTACGTTTACCACCAGCTCTGGGAGCCTTCAACTCTTAGAAACAGTGGTTCTATGCTTCTATCAAAGCAGCGTGTAGCCCAGAGCTCTGGGTTGCCTGAAACCATGTAAACCAGATTGGCTCTGCACTCTCACAGAGATTTACTTTCTTCTGGCTTATAACATGTTTTAAAAAGTATGTTCCTGCCGGGCGGTGGTGGCGCACGCCTTTAATCCCAGCACTCGGGAGGCAGAGCCAGGTGGATCTCTGTGAGTTCGAGGCCAGCCTGGTCTCCAAAGCGAGTTCCAGGAAAGGCGCAAAGCTACACAGAGAAACCCTGTCTCGAAAAACCAAAAAAAAAAAAGTATGTTCCTTCTTCTCCAGAGGTTCTGTGTCTCAGAGATCCAGCTTGGAAAGCATGAGTTTAAATCAGAACTGAAAGTCTTCTGTTGGAGATGTAGATAGACAAACGTCCATGGATTTTCTAAAGCCACAGAGTTCTTAGTTGTCTATTTTAAGATATTTTATGATTTGGAGATGATTTTAATTGCCTTGCTTTCGGTTTTGAATGAGTTTATTAAGTGTACAGCACATAAGAGTTAAAGAAAGCTGTACAGCTTCCATTCTAAATGGCTGTTCCAGCTGGATACTTTAGGTCTGGTTTTTGGTGTGTGTGTGTGTGTGTGTGTGTGTGTATTTACAAATTTGTTTATAATAAAAAAATTTTAAAGGACTAAGAGAACAATAACAACTAGTAGATAAGATAGGTACAGCAGATAAATAAAACTTCATTGCATGAGGGTTTTATGAGGGTTTTATAATATCCAGAAGAGACAGCTGGAGTAGCCTGAATAAGAGAAAAAACAAAAGTAACATCATCAACAAAGGCATTCCAACATCCAGCAGACATCAGTTGGGGAAACTGAGGCAGTTAGCTTAGTTCCTTAGGTGGCTTTCCCTCCATGAATGCCTTTCCTTCCCTGCTGTAGCGCAGACGTGTTTATCATGTGGTAACAGTAGGTGACATTTGCTAGAAATAGTTTACCGTTTAGCTGTTCTCAAGGATGGTGTTTTTACTCTTGGGCTCTTTTGCTCTTTTTCCTCTTCCTGTTGTAGTAAGAGGGTGTCAGCTCCACCTAGGAAGTGTGTCTTGGAAAACAGTTTGAGACAAACATGCTTGGGTCTGAAATGGGGGTTGGGCAACTCCTCTTTCAGCATCAGCTTTTAACAGACGTAGGCAGCACTTGACAAATTACCAGTACAATATATATTTACAAAAGTTTACAACCCAGAACGTGTGTGTGCTTTTTTAACGATTTATTTATTTATTTATTTTTATGTGCATTGGTGTTTTATCTGCATGTATGTCTGTGTCAGGGTGTCAGAAGCCCTAGAACTGGAGCTACAGACAGTTGTGAGCTACCATGTGGGTGCTGGGAATTGAACCCAGGTCCTTTGGAAGAGCAGCCAGTGCTGAGCCATCTTGCAGTCCTGTGTTTCATGGTTTGATCTAGGGCTTTTTTCATTGTTCCAAATGAAAGCTGTACATTGGTTTTATTATAAGCATTTGTAAGACAGTAAGCAGAATGATAGTCTATTTTAACTTTGAGTATAGGAGACAACTCAGATACATTTATTTGGTTTTTGTTGAACACATTGTAAAATACAATTCTTCTGCTTTGTTAAGACCCCTGGGCACACCCCTTCTTTAAGATGGGACGAGACACCAGGTCGTGCAAAAGGAAGTGAAACACCTGGAGCAACCCCAGGTTCAAAAATATGGGATCCTACACCTAGTCATACACCTGCGGGAGCCGCTACTCCTGGACGAGGCGATACGCCAGGCCATGCAACCCCAGGCCATGGCGGTGCAACTTCCAGCGCTCGTAAAAACAGATGGGACGAGACCCCCAAGACAGAAAGAGGTAGGTACTTTTAGAGGAGTGGAGACAGACGAGTGTTTGGATGAAGTGTTGACTTGAGTGTTGTGTTTCAGGCTGAGGTCTATACTTTCTATGTAACTGACCAGCTCCTGTGGAGGTGGAGCAGGTTGACTCTTTGAGAAGTCTGAACCTACTGAGTGTGTAAAACTGTCCTTTCCCTGACTGTGTGTCTCAGCACTCAAGCTTAAATCCGCATTAAAATCTTTCTTAATAAAATTTACACCTTGGGAGTGACATGCTCAGTGGTAAAGGCACTTACCACCGGCCATGCCTGGGGACAGGGCTTTGGTCCCTGGGACCCACGTGGTAGAGAAGCCCCAGCTCCATGGGTGCATCATGGTGGGTACTCTCCAGCATACACAGTGAATAAGTCAACGGAACATACTTCAACTTGGATTAAATTAAAATAAAAAAAAAGAACATAGCAAATTGAGTGCCCAGTAATTCTTTCCCCATTTTGAAGAGGCTGAAGATTAATGGGAAGAACCATAGAAGATAAATTTTGTATTTTAAAAAAATAAAAGGATGATAATTTTGTGGTTTTTTTTTTTTTTTAACTTTAAAAAATGTTTTGGATATCATCTCACTAGTCTTCACCTGGTGATTCTCTTGCCTCAGCCTCCTATGTGCATGTTTAAATATACCAATTTTAAGTACACAATTTAGTGGCTTTGAACATACAGTGTTGCACAATTATGCTATAAGTCATTTCTATATCTTTTTTTCAGTGACCCAAACAGAAACTGCATCCTTTAAACAATGCTTTCTTTTCTTTACCACGTTCTGACTCCTGCTAGCCTATATTTTATATTCTGTCTCAGAAATTTGCCTAAATCTAGTGTTGGATGTCTAGAAAAGTAGCTGGAACATGACTCAAGATAAACAGTGGATGGTTCCACAGAGTGATCATATGGATGAAAACACAAGTTTTTGTTTCTCATTAGTTGCTGTGTGTACCTTTGTAGTCAGTGGAAAGGAAATCCAAAAATACTGAACAAAACTTTTAAGTATATCTTGTTTTTGGAATATCTTCCTTTTGAACTTAATCGTATTGCATGTGGGGGAAGCAGTGTTTGAAAAGTGGTTAATAGTGTGATCTTCCTGACTCTTTGTTTTTGTAGATACTCCTGGGCATGGAAGTGGATGGGCTGAGACTCCTCGAACAGATCGAGGTGGAGACTCTATCGGGGAAACACCAACTCCTGGAGCAAGTAAAAGAAAGTCTCGTTGGGATGAAACACCAGCTAGTCAGATGGGGGGAAGCACTCCTGTTCTGACTCCAGGAAAAACCCCAATCGGCACACCAGCCATGAACATGGCTACCCCCACTCCAGGTAGAAACGCTCATTGGAAATCATTCATTCTTTCTCTTGTAACGGTTGTAATTTTTTTGCTGGTTTTTCTGGGTGCTATTAATGCTAGCTTTTCTGTTAAGAATAAGAATATAAAAGTGTCTTGATTTGCATTCTAATATAAAAACAAACAGGTAAGGACCTATTTAGTGATAAAGTCTTGCACTGTGGATCATTAAAACTTGGCTTTTTTGGTAGGTCACATAATGAGCATGACTCCTGAACAGCTTCAGGCTTGGCGATGGGAGAGAGAAATTGATGAGCGAAACCGCCCACTTTCTGATGAAGAATTAGATGCTATGTTCCCAGAAGGATATAAGGTGCTATTGATGAATATATGATGAATGTGTTGGTATTTAGGATATGAGTTTTAAGCATTTGGTTAAAAAAAAAAAAATCACCTGGCAAATTTGCATAGGCCTCACCCAGATTTACTAATCAGTTCCTTCTTTTTTTTTTTTTTTTATATAGGTACTACTAAGTGCATTTCAGTTGGAAAAGTAATAGAGATGAAATGAGTAACAGGGAGCTTTATTATTTCGCCAGTTGTGATGGTGCCTGTCTTTAATCCTAGTGATTGATGGAAGCCAGAGGCAGATTTCTGAGTTTGAGGCCAGTCTGGTTCAGATAACAAGTTCCAGGCCAGAGAGACCCTGTCTCAAACCGTCCCCCTGAAAAAAATATTTTCTTTTGGGGACTGGAGAAATGGCTCAGCTGTTAAGAGCATGTACTGCTCTTAGAGGAGAGTGGAGTTCAGTTCCCAGCACCCACATCAAAGAGCTCCCAGGCACCTGTGGGTCTCAAGAATCCCGTGCCGTGTGCTGGTCTTCTCAGGCTCTGTACTCAAGTGTACAAGCTTAAATCCAGGCACACAAAAATATTTTAAAAAATACTATTTTATGGGCTGGAGAGATGGCTCAGTGGTTAAGAACACTGGCTGCTCTTCCAAAGGACCCCTGTTCAATTCCCAGCAACCACATGGCAGCTCACAATTGTATCTCCAGCTCCAGGAGTTCTGACACCTTCACACAGATACACACAACATGCAAAACATCACTGCACATAAAATGAAAGTTAATTTAAAAATGTTATTTTATTTTTAATTATGTGTATGAGTATGTGCATGTGAGTTCAGGTGTCTGAGAAGCCATTTTCATTCCTCCACTGGAATTACAGGCGGTTGTGAGTTGCCCAGCGTGGGTTCTGGGTTCTGAACTCTGGTCCTCATGATTTGAGGTGCAAGTGTTGTAGGTTGCTGAACCACTTCTCTAGTACCCGCTATTAAAGAACAGTTCTTACGTTTTGAGATAGTGTCTCACTGTGTAATCATGGCTAGCCTGGAACTTCAGATAGAGACCACGCTGACCTTAACCTCACAGATCTGTCTAAAGGGTACGCCACCACTCCTGGCTCTTCTTAGTTTGTAAGTAAGGAATCTTGAGGACAGACTTCTGGAGGTTCCCAGCCAGTGCTGTGAGGACCTCTGAATTAGTGCAGTGTAGCTTGTTTCCATTTATCAGTTTTGTAGCACTGAGCTCAGCTAACTGGCTGGTTTACTTGCTACCTCAATAAAACTTTGTGTCTCTAAATGACACAAAGAATGCTCTTTCTACTGTAATAAATGGAAATGTCGTTTTTGTTGTATTTTACAACAGGGCCTCACCCTGTAGCTCAGATTATTGAAGTTTGTTTTGAACTATAAAATTTTCCAAGTACCTGTCACTATAGAAGTACTTGTTGGCAAAGAGCTGTTTGTGATTGTAGCTAGAGTCAGAACCAAGACAGTCTTCATCTTTTTTGGTTTTGGTTTTTTGAGACAGGGTTTCTCTGTGTAGCCCTGGCTGTCCTGGAACTCACTTTGTAGACCAGGCTGGCCTCGAACTCACAGAGATCCACCTGGCTCTGCCTCCCAAGTGCTGGGTAAAAGGCGTGTGCCACCACTGCCCGGCTAACCTTAATCTTATAGTGGCCGTTAGAGCCTTTTTGCTGTTGACTGTTGTCAGCAGTGTGCAGGTGTGTGCGCTACCCCATCCCGTTAGGTTTGGGTTAGTTATTGCTGCCGATGAACATGCCACATTCCTCAGTCTAGAGCATTTGCCGAGGAGGACAAGAATTAATCGATAAAACATTAAAAACCAAAGTCGCCTTGTAGCCTCCATGTAATGCTTTGCATGTGGACAATCTAATGTTGATTGTTTAAGTATCTTTCTCAGTTATAGTCCTTAGCTTCCTTAATACCAATAGGAAGGACACTTGTTCTTTTGTGAGTCTAATAAGTAAAATCTTAAAGTACACCTTCAGTGTACAGTGACACCAATGGATTTGACAAATGCTTAGTCAGAGGTCCATGCTGCACATGCCTTAACAAGCAGCAAAAAAATTTAATGAAGTACGTACAGGTGGCATCAGATATGTTTATCAAATCTTCAGTCTCCTTGACATTTTTCAGACACAATATTTGACTATTTGGAGAGGACCTGTGTTAGGCTTATTGTCCTACCGAGGAAAGTGTTATTAGCAACAAAAGTCTCACTGCTTTAAAACCGAATCCTATTGTTTTTAACTCATATTTTTAGATATTCTATGGGTTTTATAATGGGTTTAATTTGGCATTTCTTTCAGAGGGTCTTGGCAAATACTTTAGTTTTACTTTTCTGTATTTGAGTCAGTTTTGTAGAGTTCAGTCTTAAAATACATTTTTATAGTATTTAGGAGTTTATGTGAATTTTCAGTTTATTTCTAAAACATACATGATTTTTGTAATCTATTATATAAAACATATAAGTTTGTTTCCACTTAAATGAATGATTATAAATATTTGCTCTAACAGTGGTACCTTTTGGGAAATCACTGATTTGCAGTTTTTATAATTTTCAAGTTTCATTAATTTACATACTGGCTTTACAACATGTTGATATTTCAAACATGTTAATGTTTGAATGTGGCCAGAATTTTTAGAGTGCTTCATCTGTTTCTTTCTCATTTAATTTCTAATTTGTTAATTAAAATTTAACAAATTAGAAATTATTTTTCATAAATATCTTAACTTTTAACTTTGAACAGTGGGTTATGTTTTCTCCAGGTAAATAAGCTTGCTAGCTAATGAATTGTAAATTCTCTGTAAGTGTAAATGCTACTATGCTGTCCTTCAGTGTGGAAGGCCAAGGCCGTCCTCCTAACGTGTACTGTGACTCTCTCTCAGGTCCTTCCCCCTCCAGCCGGCTATGTGCCTATTCGAACTCCAGCTCGGAAGCTGACAGCAACTCCCACACCTTTGGGCGGTATGACTGGTTTCCACATGCAAACCGAAGATAGAACGATGAAAAGTGTTAATGACCAGCCGTCTGGGAACCTGCCATTTTTAAAGCCTGATGACATTCAGTACTTTGATAAACTATTGGTAAGTGATGCTAGCAGAAATGCAGTGTTGCTCTTGTTTGGGAGTTACAAATCACTGTCTTGATCTACTTTTCAATTTTACTGTAGGTTGATGTTGATGAATCAACACTTAGTCCAGAAGAGCAGAAAGAGAGAAAAATAATGAAGTTGCTTTTAAAAATTAAGAATGGTACACCTCCAATGAGAAAGGTAAGTTCTGTTTTTATTTTATTTTATTTTGGCTTTTAGTCCTGATTGCTGTGGAACTCACTATGTAGACTAGGCTGGCTTGGAACCTCCAGAAATCCACCTGCCTCTGGCTCTCAAATGTTGCAGTTAGTTAAAGGTGTATTCCACCTTTAATGAACAATAAATAATAAAAATATGTGCCACATCTGGCTCCTCGGTCTAGTTTGTTAAATTATTATATCATTATTTTTGTTTGTTTTGAGACAGGTTCTCAAACTGTACCCCAAGCTGTGCTGAAACTCATAGCCCAGGTTGGATTTAGTCTGATAGCAATCCTTTTTGCCTCGCCACCTGAGTGATGGAATTAACAGAATAAGACATGGCACTCTGTTCTGGTTTCTTTTTTGGCTTTTTATATGGTCTCTGATAAGTTGCTTAGCTTCGTCTTAAGCTTGTTCAGGCAAGCCTTGAGCTTTGGATCCTCTTCGGGAGTAGCTGCTTGGCATTAAAGCCTTATGCTCCAGGCGCAGTGAATTTAATTCTTATAATCAAAGGATTTTGTTCTGATAAGGATATGAGAAAATTAAATTCCTTTTGTCCTTGACAGCTTTAAAGTGAATGTTTGGAACTAGAAGTGATTAGTGGAAATTATGTGAGTTTTTCTGTTAACACCGAATGTGGCTTGATTCTGGAAGGCTCTTATGGCTCAACATCTTAAGGCAGATGGTATATACTTGTATGGTTCTATGGCACAACTAAATTATCCTTTAAACATTTATTTATGGGCACACATACATGACGATAACTTGCAGGAATCGGTTGTTTCCTTCTATTATGTGGGTTCTTAGAATTGAACTCAGATGATCATCAGGCTTGGTAGCCAGTACCCTTTACCCTCTGAGGAGTGTTATAAGCCCTATAAATTAATTACCCTTTTTTCTTTTATGCCCATTTATTCATTTATTTAGTATATACATAGTGCGTGGGTGTGTGTACAGGTATGTGGGTAGGTGATACTCCAGAGTAAACAGAGAGGTCAGAGGACAGCTTTGGAAGTTGGGTCTCCTTCCATTGTCTAGATCCCAGGGGTTGTAGTAGGGGTCATTGGGCTTGGTGATAAGCCCCTTTACCTCTTAGCCACCTCACCTGCCACTAAATTACCCTGTTTGAATGAGCTGATGCCATTAAACTTGGGTCATGTGAGTTTAAACATTAAAATAATTTTGACAAAAATGAATTCTTAGATGTAAATTGTCTTACCTAAGTATACATCAAAATGTGATTCAAAAAAATATGATTCCTGATGAAATTTACCCCTTCTGAATGCTTGCTCATAAACGAAAATAAATCTTTTCTTTCTGCTTTTCCCCAGGCTGCTTTACGTCAGATTACTGATAAAGCTCGAGAATTTGGGGCTGGACCTTTGTTTAACCAGATTCTTCCTCTGCTGATGTCTCCTACACTTGAGGATCAAGAGCGTCATTTACTTGTGAAAGTTATTGATAGGATATTGTATAAACTTGATGACTTAGTACGGCCATATGTGCACAAGGTTGGTTGGTTCTCTAAGTAGTGTTTAATGGTCTAATTTTTATTGCTTGAGTTCTATTTTCCACTGTCTGGAATCTGGAAGCTCTTTTTGGGGGAGTGGGGAGGTGGGCATTGTTCATGACAGGGTCTTTCTGTGTAGCCTTGCGTACTAGGCTGGCCTCAGAGATCCACCTGCCTCTGCCTCCTGAGTGCTGGGATTAAAAGCACCACTGCCTGGCCATTTAATATTTTTTCATTTTCAACATAAAAGTCAAGGGTTTATTTTTCCAGTTTGTCCTCATATTTATACAAACTTAGTTCATGTATATGGTGTTTTGCCTGCATCACTTGCATGATTGTTGCCCTTGGAAGCCAGAAGAGGGCATTGGATCCCCTGCAGTTGGAGTTAATAGATGTTCTAAGTTGCCATGTGAGTGCTGGGGATTGACCCTGGGTCCTCAAGAAGAGTGGCTAGTGCCCTCTAACTGACAGGCCATTTCTCCAGCCCCTTTCCTTGTGTTCTTAAATTTTTAAAGTTCAAAATTTTAGTTGATTGTATACAATAGTCTAGAAAAGTTTAACAACGTATAGCATCCTCAGAGTTAATCAGTGTTGAATTAGTCTGTCCTGATCTTTTTGGGGTTTTTGAGAAATGGTCTCACCATGTTATCGAGGCTGGCCTGTGTCTATGTGTGGATGTATGCTAACCCTAGTCCAGGATCTCCTGCCCAGCCAATGGTTTTGCCCACAATTTAGGTGGGGCTTTGCAAGATAATCTCTTATGGGCATTCCCAGAGGCCTATTGCTCAGGTGGTTTTAGATCCTGCCAAATTGACAATTAACATTAATTAGCACAACTACCAGATCTTTTTTCTTCCAGAAGCAAGCATCACATATATAAAAATTAAGATATATGTAAATTTTTTTTGCCATTTTTACTCTTGAGTTATTAACTCATTTTTTCCAGTTGCTTTTATTGACAGATTAGAATGAGAATAGATATTTTATTTTGTATTAGAATAAAGAATCATCTTTATATGACAGTGCTCATATATTTTTTAATGTTAGTTTACATTTAATTTTTACCTATATCTAGGGCTTGATGGTATGGAATTAAAATTCTTTAACCCCACCCCTCGATTAACAAAATTTTTTGATAACTGTAGGTTCATGTGGAAATGTAATTCCTCTTATGGTTTTTTTTTCAGATTCTTGTGGTCATCGAGCCACTGCTGATTGATGAAGATTACTATGCCAGAGTGGAAGGCCGAGAGATTATTTCTAACTTGGCAAAGGTATTCACATTCAGTTCCTAGAAAAGGAAGTCTGCCTTTTGAAGGGTTTGAGGATTGATGGTATTAACCAAAGCTGCTGTTGTGTCTTTTGTCTTTAGGCTGCTGGTCTGGCTACTATGATTTCCACCATGAGACCTGATATAGATAACATGGATGAGTATGTCCGAAACACAACAGCTAGAGCTTTTGCTGTTGTAGCCTCTGCCCTGGGCATTCCTTCTCTATTGCCCTTCTTAAAAGCTGTGTGCAAAAGCAAGAAGTCTTGGCAAGCCAGGCACACTGGTATTAAGATTGTACAACAGATAGCTATTCTTATGGGCTGTGCTATCTTGCCACATCTCAGAAGTTTAGTTGAAATCATTGAACACGGTAAGTGGTGATGTAGCTTATAGATCAGCTGTCCTGAATTTTTGATTACTGATTGGGGGGTGGGGAATAACCGAAAGGGCTTTCCCACACAAATGTGTTCTATTTTGAAGTGGGGTTTGTGATAGTTTCTGTTAACAAACTGCTTTTGCAGAAATTGTATGACTGGAACATGTCTTCCAGTTTGGGGACATGGTTAGAGACATTGATGGTGATCGGGCTAGATTGTGAAAGTGAGGTCTTGGGGCCAACTCACGCCTGTGTTGACTTGTGTAGGTCTTGTGGATGAACAGCAGAAAGTTCGGACCATCAGTGCTTTGGCTATTGCTGCTTTGGCTGAAGCAGCGACTCCTTATGGTATCGAATCGTTTGACTCCGTGCTCAAGCCTCTATGGAAGGGTATCCGCCAACACAGAGGAAAGGTAAGTCCACTCTTAGATTCTAGGTAGTTGCTATTCAGTAAGGCAACCTCAACTTAATTTCCTGACGTGTGTCTGTTCATATATTTTATTTTTAAATAGGGTTTGGCCGCTTTCTTAAAGGCTATTGGGTATCTTATTCCTCTTATGGATGCAGAATATGCCAACTACTATACCAGAGAAGTGATGTTAATCCTTATTCGAGAATTCCAGTCTCCAGATGAAGAAATGAAGAAAATTGTATTGAAGGTAATTAGTTGTTCCAGTTTGTAGGAATATATTTGTGAATGTAGTGTGCATGTTTTGAAGGGTCAAAGAGGTCTTTATAACATTAAAAACAAAAAAAACTATGTTGTTGTTGTGTCAGTGTCATGTGTCTGATTTATTGGTTTTTTTTAACCTTTTAGGTGGTGAAACAGTGTTGTGGAACAGATGGTGTAGAAGCAAACTACATTAAAACAGAAATTCTTCCGCCTTTCTTTAAACACTTCTGGCAACACAGAATGGCTCTGGATAGAAGAAATTACCGACAGGTGACCTTTTATTTATTGTTAAAATTTGAGTCTCTAAAAGCTTTTTGGCGAATTGTCTACTTAGAATGCACATTACATACAATAATTTGCTTTGGCTATCTTAAAATTTATATGTACTTTACTGTGACCGAAGATGAACTTTCTTTTTTGAGATAGGGTTTCACTGTGTAGCCAGGAAATTGCAATGTAAACCTCAAACTCACAGGTCCACCTGCCTTTGCCTTCCAAGTGCTGGGATTAAAGGTGTGCTCTACCACACCTGGCCTCTTTCTTGTCATGTTTTTGGAAAGCATGCATTTAATGTAAAATCCCCATGAAACTAGTGCATTTAAAATTTTTAAATGTTTATTTTTCAAGTGTTTTACCTGTGTGTATATCTGCACCATTTGGTGTGTCTCATGGCTACAGAGACCAGATCATTGATCTCCTGGTATTGGAGTTACAAACAATTGTGAGCCAGATATCTCCTGGTATTGAAGTTACAGATATTTGTGAACCACGTTGTGGGTGTTGGGAAATTGAACTTGGGTTCCCTGGAAGAATAAACCAGTACTCTTTTTTAACTGCTGAGACATTTCTCCAGCCCAGTCCTGTCTCCACCCCCTACCCCCTTGTGTGTACACAAGTGCTTGTGTTTAAATTACACTTAGATTTGGTGTGTGCATGTGCCCCCAGTGCATGCATGTTATGGAGGTAGGAGAGCAGCTGGCTGGAGTTCCCTCTTGGAGGTGGATTGGATCATGAGACTCAAACTCAGGTTGTCAAGTGTGTTGACAAGTGCCTTTTACCTGTTGAACCCTCCCTCCAGCCCTGGTTTTTTTTTTTTTTTTTTTTTCCTTTTTGTGACAAAATCACTTTGTAGTCTAGGCTGGTCTCAAATTCTTGGTCCTTCTGCCTTGGCCTCCCAGCTTACCAGTGCTTAAATGTGAGGCGATGTTTTTGTAAATTGAGGCTTTCTCTAGTTTGCTGGAACTTAAGTATAATTTTACTTAGAATTGTTTTTGTTTTGAAGATAGGATCTCATGTTTCTTAGGCCGGCCTGGACCTTGTGTATATAGCCAGATTGGCATCGAACTTGGAAGATCTGCCTCAGCTTTTTGAGTGCTAGCATTATAGGCAGGAGCTGCTCTCACTTTGAAAGTTTAGTAGCAAGTTTTATTTCCTTAGAAAAGTAATTCATTTCAAAGGGTTTTGTTTTTGTCTTTTTAGTTAGTTGATACCACTGTGGAGTTGGCAAACAAAGTGGGAGCAGCAGAAATTATATCTAGGATTGTGGATGATCTGAAAGATGAAGCTGAGCAGTACAGGAAAATGGTGATGGAGACAATTGAGAAAATTATGGGCAACCTAGGTGCAGCAGACATTGATCATAAACTGGAAGAACAACTGATTGATGGCATTCTTTATGCTTTCCAAGAACAGACTACAGAGGTAATGGCTACTAATCATTTATTTCTGTTTAAATTTTATTTTGTGTGCATGTGTGGGAGAAAACTAGAGGCAGCTTTCAGGGATCAGTTCTCTCTTTCCACCATGTGTTTCCTGGGGGCAGGCTTGGGGGCAACTGTCAGCCAGGCCCATCACAGCTAATTATTGTGCCATGTTGCTGGTGACTTTCATATATGTAGAAAACCGTCCTTATAAAGCAGGTATCCCTTAAAAGTAATTTAGGTTTGACATTTTAAGTACTAATTCTCCTCAGTTTCAACAAATGTTCTTTTACCTTAGGTTTTTGGATTTGATTTAAAAACTAACGGGATGTTGGGTGGTTGGAATAGATGGAATGTTATTTAACAATCAACTTTTCAGTTAAAACTAAATTCTGTATTTTTAGTGATTTTGTGTGTTTGTTTTTAAAAAAGTGTAACTTAGTTTTTTTCTCTTTTAGGATTCAGTAATGTTGAATGGCTTTGGCACAGTAGTTAATGCTCTTGGCAAACGAGTCAAACCGTACTTGCCTCAGATCTGTGGTACTGTTTTGTGGCGTTTAAATAACAAATCAGCAAAAGTTAGGCAACAAGCAGCTGACTTGATTTCCAGAACTGCTGTTGTTATGAAGACTTGTCAAGAGGTAACCTATCTAGTCTACCAGGTTTATATGTATATATTTTTTTACAATCTTGTAGCTTAATGGAGAAAGTAACATTTTAAATGTTTCTTTTGTTACAGGAAAAACTGATGGGGCACTTGGGTGTGGTGCTGTATGAATATTTGGGTGAAGAATACCCTGAAGTATTGGGCAGCATTCTTGGAGCACTGAAGGCCATTGTAAATGTAATAGGTATGTGATGGCCTGATTATGTGAGAATTTGGCTTGTAATTTTTTTTGTATTTTGAAAGCAAAATATAGAGTGGTATTTAGGAGTTTGTTGATTTTTTTTTTTTTTGAGCACTTCAGGGTTGTCAGAGAATGTCACAAAGGTCTTCTTTTCCTATTTTATATTTATATTTTACTTAAAAATGTTAAAGGGGAAATTTAGGACTTACGAAGTATGGAAATGGTTACAGCACAAAATGTATGAGTTGCTGGGAGAGAGGACCTGATAGAACTAGTACATCTGCTAGAAAATGATCTAGTGTCTTCTGTACGGGGGTGGAGCGACCCTGAAGTTGTAATTGAGCTTTAGAAATGGTCTTTGTTTAGTCAGTCTTGTATATGAAAGTGTTTTGACGGGTTGTTAGGATTTTTTGTTTGCAGTGAGTTCAAAGACGACAAGGTAAAGCAGCAACCTAGCCTGTCTTTTAGCCCTAAGTGAAGAAGATAGACCTATCAATCTTGGGTATGGAGGGGGAACTTTTTAGTCTTTTTCAGGAAGTAATGATAAAGCAAACAAAGGCATTCCTGTCTTTAAAATTTCAGTGTAGCTGGGCAGTAATGGCACACAACTTTAATCCCAGCACTTGGGAGGTAGGCAGATCTCTGGAGTTCGAGGTCAGCCTGCTTTATGGCACCAGGATAGCTGGGGAAACCCTGTTTCGGGGGGTGGGGGGACATGTCTCGTATTTAAGCATAGTGTTGGAAGTAACTTCTGTGGGACTGAAGGGGTGGGAAAAGGCCAAGAGTTCCTAATACCTGGCGATGATAACCATTGTTTTCCCTGTTTTAGTAAGGAGTGTTTATGCAGTATAGATCTCTGAATGGTTGCCTTTACATATAATTCACAGTTCAGCCCAGTCTTGTACACTTTAAAGATACTGACCTGCCAACAGTCATTTAACCATGTGGAGGTCTCTGGTTTGTCAGGGTTGTAAACCGTGTTATCTGGGAAACATGAGAAAAGTGACAGAATCAGAGCAAGCAGTTCCAGTTAGAGCAAGAGCTCCTGCTGGCTGCCTTTCCCTCCCCCACTTCATAGGTTTAAATATCATCCAGGCATGCACTGCACTTCAGGAAGACTGGAGATCTGTTTGGTTTTGCAGTTAAGGGGTTTCTGATTTGATTTACATGTCTGCTTTTGCTTATACTGTTGTCTTTGGTCAGAACATAGGCTGTTTCCATATTTAAATGTCAGTGTGCAAATAGCATTTTAAAACTAAATAAAAACTTCCTGTTATTGAGTAACCCTCATTTTTTTTTTTTTGCTTTTTTTTTTTTTTTTTTCTTTTTTTAAGATTTATTTATTTATTATGTATACAGGAGAGGGCACCAGATCTCATTACAGATGGTAGTGAGCCACCATGTGGGTGCTGGGAATTGAACTCAGGACCTCTGGAAGAGCAGCTAGTGCTCTTAACCTCTGAGCCATCTCTCCAGCCCTTTTTTTTGCTTTTTTTGAGACAGGGTTTCTCTTTGTAGCTTTGGAGTCTGTCCTGGATCTCACTTTGTAGACCAGGCTGGCCTCGAACTCACAGAGATCCGCCTGCCTCTGCCTCCCGAGTGCTGGGATTAAAGGCGTGCGCCACCACCGCCCAGTGTAACCCTCATTCTTTAAATCACTGATTTCTTTCATTTCTACATGTAATTAGAAGCTAATGTTTTAAAAAATTCTAAATCTAATTAGAATCTGGGGCTTTTATCCATAGGTAGCTTGTAAGTTTATATTTATGCATTGCATTGCACAGTAAAAGGAAAAATGAACAGAGGTTGCAGTTCATGTTGTAATAGTTCATTTTTTTTCTGTCAAATAGGTATGCATAAGATGACACCACCAATTAAAGATCTCTTGCCTAGACTCACACCCATCTTAAAGAACAGGCATGAAAAAGTACAAGAGAATTGTATCGACCTTGTTGGACGCATTGCTGACAGGTAAGTAGATTACACCAACATTTTTAAGAAGTAGTAACAGTCTCATACTTTGTTCAAGTAGACCGCTTAAACATTCTTATAGGCAGTATTTCTTTTTAGATTAAGCAGATTTGTATTCAGTGAGCAAGTTTTACTTAAAATTGCTTACCTAAGTGCAATATGGTCAGGTTTTCAGTCAAATTTCACTTTGCCTATTAATAAGAATCAGCAGTGTAGTTTTGTTGTTGTTTTTTCGAGACAGGATTTCTCTGTGTGGCTCTGGCTGTCCTGGTACTCGTCCTATAGACCAGGCTGGCCTCGAATTCAGAGATCCACCTGGCTCTGCCTCCTGAGTGCTGGGATTAAAGGCGTGTGCCACCACTGCCCGGCTTAGCAGTGTAGTTTTAAAACTGAGCCAGTTTTTCTTTCTTTTTGTTTAATTTTCTTTTGAGGCAAGGTCTGATTGTGTCTCTGGCTGGCCTGGAACTAACTGTATAGACCAGGTTGGCCTTGAACTTAGATCTGCCTCCTGAGTGCTGGGATTAGAGGCATGCACCACCACTTTTTTAGTTTTCATTTAATATTTAAGGAGAGTTAGTGGTGGTTTCAGAACTGAATATGCACATTTACTTTTTTTTAAACTTTCATTTGAGTAAGGGGTAGAACCCTTGTTTGCCATGTGTGAGGCCCTGGGCTTCCTCCCAGCACAACAAAAACAAAAAATCAAAGCACCTTGATATCACAACAATGGTAACTCATTTAATTTTAATTTTTTTTTTTTTTTAACTAGGGGAGCTGAATATGTGTCTGCAAGAGAGTGGATGAGGATTTGCTTTGAGCTTTTAGAACTCTTAAAAGCTCACAAGAAAGCTATTCGAAGAGCTACTGTCAACACTTTTGGTTACATTGCAAAGGCCATTGGGTGAGTATTTTCACTTTTCTGATAGGTTATAACAAACCATTGTGTTGGAAAATGCTCTCATGTAGACATCTTTTGAGGCATCGAATAGTCTCAATCATTTGAAGAAAAAGTATTTCATTAACCACTGACCTGCCCTTCTCTATTTTAAACTATTTCTTTGAACTCTCAATTGAACTAAAGTAGATAGAATGCTCTAAAGTTTCCCTATTGCAGTGTAGATATTCTTAGAGAGGGATAGGTCCATTTTCAGGGTACGTTCACGTTTTTTGTTGGTCTTTTTTAGGATATTGTTTAATTTTTTTTCTTCTTTTTTGAGACAGGGTCTTTATGTAGTCCTGGTTGTCCTGGAACTCTTTGTAGACCAGGCCGGCCTCAAAGTCAGAGGTCTGCCTCCCCAGTTCTGAGATTAAAGGCACATTAAGAGCCTGTGCCCCATGTCCAGCTAGGATATTGCTTAAACTATTGAGGGATGAGTACTCCACATTCTTAATCTCCATGGTGTCCGATTATGAGCCTCTGTTTTAGTGTCTCTTAACAGTAAAAAGAAGCTTCTTTGGGCTGGAAAGATGGCTCAGCAGTTAAAGCACTGGCTACTGTTAGCGAGGAGCCAGCTTTGATTCCAGCACCCACATGCCTTACAGTCCACGAATGTGACTCCAGTGTCGGGGTCTGCTCATGCATACAAAAATAAACAAATACTTTGAAAAGTTAAAAGCTTTTCTGATAAGGGTTGAGAAATGCACTGATTTATGGGTATAAAGATAAAAACTTAGGGGGCAGTTTATCATTTAACATAATGACAGTTATATCACACCCCTAATCCTCAAGATGTTGTGATGTTTTGAAAGAGTGGGATATAAAGATTGTAAATGCCAGAGGTAGTAGATATCTGCAGCAAAAGAACACTTGTTGGACATGACAGCGTAGTTGCAGACAAGAACTTAGATGAGTTGTAACTGCACATGACCTGCATAAGATCAAGCCAGTCAAAACACTGGCATGGATCGGAGAGGGGTTCATGAAGTCTCTCCCCTGTCTGAAGAGCTATTGGCAATTGATGACTGCTGGGGAGAGTCAGTGATAAGAGATGGGGCCCTGTGAGGCTACACATGCTTCAGCACAGTGTCTCTACCCATAGACAGAACATTAGCATGATGGGGACTTAGTGGATTTAAACTGTTTCTTTAGATTTATTTATTTTATGCCTATATGTATATGCATGTATTTACACATATACGTGCCTGATGCCTGTGGAGGTCTTAAGAGGGTGTTGGATCCCCAAGAACTTAAGGGATGGATGGTTGTGAGCCACCTTGTGAGGGCTGGGAATCAAACCTGGGTCCTCTGGAAGAGCAGCCAGTGTTCTTAACCATTGAGCCATCTCTCCAGCCCTGACTCAGTGGATTTATAAAAGGAGCACATAAGGTTGGGAGGGCCAGTGGGGGAAGGGAGAGACGAGAGAGACCTTAGAAAGACAAGGGGGGTTTGACCAAACTCAAGTTAGGCACGTGTGAAATTCTCGACATCAAGGTTTTTTTCTTTGTATATTAAACTCACTTTAATTTTTTTTTTTTTTTTGTTGTTGTCATTTAAACATTTTATGTATATAAGTGCTTTGCCTGCACATAGGTCTGTATGCCACTTGTATACCTGGTACCCTCAGGTACCACAAGATAGTATTAGATTCATTGGAACTTGGAGTTAGAGAAGGTTGTGAGCTACCATGTGGGTGCTAAGAATCATACCAGGTCCAGCAGCCAGTGCTCTTAACCTGATCTGATCTACCCATCCGGCTCCTCTTTTTATTTGATTTTACCTTTTTATTTTGGAGAATCTCACTGTGTAGTTCTGGCTGGCCTTTTTAACTTAAAGATTAGTCTGTTCCTGTCTTCCAAGTGGTAAGACTAAAGGTGTGGGCCAACATGCAGTATTTATATATAATTCATATCTTAATGCTCACTTTATGATAAACATGGGAAAGGGGTTAATGGGGAAGATGAGGAACAGATTTTATGCTTTTGAGCATGGGAATCCAGGGTTTTGGATATTTTTGTTTTGGATATTCTGTTTGGCTTTGGAGTCCACCATTTAAATTTCTTTATATTTCAAAAGCCCACCCCCACCCCCACCCCTCAGTCTCCTCGGTAGCTTTGCGCCTTTCCTGGAACTCACTTGGTAGCCCAGGCTGGCCTCGAACTCACAGAGATCCTCATGGCTTTGCCTCCCGAGTGCTGGGTTTAAAGGCGTGCGCCACCACCGCCTAGCTTATATTTCAAAAGTTTAAAGAGTAAAAATTATATTTGAAAATGAGTCTACCTGAATTAACATTAAGAAAAATCTAGACAGGCAGGTGGATCTCTGTGAGTTCTAGGCCAGCCTGGTCTACAGAGCTACTTCCAGGACAGCCAGGACTACACAGAGAAACCTTGTCTTGAAAAACCAAAGAAAGAAAAAGAAAAATCTGACAATTTGGAGCCTTTTTAAACTTTCTTTTTAATATTTTTATTTTATTTTTTGAGGTTATAATTATATCATTTTCTCCTTCCCTGTATGAAGCTCATAGGTCAAAAGCCACACTTCTAGTGGTGAGAAAAGTACTACATTTTATCAGAACATTACTAATGTCCAGTGATACTCCATTCCATTCCATTGCAGTTTTTCTTTTCTCTGAGAACAAGTTTAATAATAGTATGATACCTTGCTGATGTATAATTTCTTGTTTCTTTTCAGCCCTCACGATGTACTGGCTACGCTTTTAAACAACCTCAAAGTTCAGGAAAGGCAGAACAGAGTGTGTACTACTGTAGCCATTGCCATTGTTGCGGAGACGTGCTCACCCTTCACAGTACTCCCTGCTTTAATGAATGAATACAGAGTTCCTGAACTCAATGTTCAAAATGGAGTGTTAAAATCGCTCTCCTTCTTGTTTGAGTATATTGGTGAAATGGGAAAAGACTACATCTATGCTGTGACGCCTTTACTTGAGGATGCGTTAATGGATAGGTAAGTGACTAAAACTAAATGTAGAAAGATAATTAACAATATGCTTCATGTTAGACTTTACTAAGATAACTTTTAAATGACCTATTTGTTGTATTGTTAGGGAAGAAACATTACTGTGATGGATTATTTCCCATAATAAGTATAATTTCTTACTTTAATATTTGTTGTAGTGAGTTAGTCTCATTTCATATGTGTTAAGCTAAATACATTTTGAGGCACTTTTTAAAAACAATTGGGGGGGGGGCTGGAGAGATGGCTCAGAGGTTAAGAGTACCGACTGTTCTTCCAGAGGTCCTGAGTTCAATTCCCAGCACCCACATGGTGGCTCACTACCATCTGTAATGAGATCTGGCTCCCTCTTCTCGCCTGCAGGGATACATGCAAACAGAACATTGTATATATAATAAATAAATAAATCTTAAAAAAAAAAATTAGGGGGAATAAAAGATGAACACGAGTTAATCTGTATGGCAGCGAAACCTGTAGTTTTGTTTTTGAGACAGTGTCTCAGGTCACCCAGGGTAGCTGAACATGACCTTAAACTTATTTCCTCACTTCCTCTACCTCCAGAGTGTTGGAACTGTAGACATGTACCACCAGGCTTGCTTGTATGGGGCTTCAGCCATGCTTTGTAAGCCAGTGCTCCACCACCTGAGCCAGAGCATAGTCTTTCCCTGCCAGGCCCCCAGTGCTCAGATGGCAGCTGTTAGTCCAGTGCTGCTTGTGAGTTACTTGGTAAGAGTCCTGCCATTTTACTGTCTAGGTTGAGGTACAGAATTAATTGTACCGGACAAGATTTCTAAGGAAAGCATAGGGAGGTTCAAGTAGTTTCAGTGGCCGTCTGAGTTTTCAGCTGGTTACTTTTATGTACAGCTTAAATTACTCACTAAACTGGCCACGTTGCGCCTCCAACCTCTACTACAGAGGCTGATGCAGGAGGATTGAAAATTCCATGCCAACCTGCACAATATATTAAGACTGCCCTGTCTCAAAACAAAATTGTGAAAATTGGGTAGGGGTGTAGTGTTCCTTTCATGCATGAGGTCCTGGATTCAGTCCTCAGTGTAGCAAAAGTCACTCAGTAACCTTCATAAAAGTCAACTTAAACTAATTAGTGTGGTACCAGAAAGTATAGATGTAATTATGAAGACACATTAGTAATTTCAATTTGTAGAAGCCCACTTTTCCAGGACCAAACAAAATAGCAGTAAATGACCTTGCTTCTCTCTCACATTGCTTCTTCACAAGGCATGCCTGAACATTACAACCATTGAAATGTGTGATTTGAGGTTAAAAGTTGTGTTCTGATTTGGAGGAATTTTGTGAAAAGTAAACATGACTTGTCTCTTCATATATTGATTACAAATAAAACTGATAGTAGAATTGAAAAGTTTGGCAGAACTTTCTGGTTTGGGGGTTGTTTATAAGAAAAACCCTTGAATATTGCACTGCAAATAAATTTGAATTTTATATTCTCAGTTAATATATCAAATTCATTTTAGAACATTCCAGACTTCTGTCAGATGTACATTTTGTAATTTTCATGTATCAATAATTTCTTATGCTTTTACATTCTTTTTTTGTGATCTCAACTCTTAGAAAGTTTTTCTTTTTTTTTTTTTCTTGTTTGTTTTTCAAGACAGTTGCCCTGGTTGTCTTGGAACTCACTTTGTAGATAAGGCTGGCTGTGAATTCAGAGATCTACCTGCCTCTACCTCCTGAGTGTTAGGACTAAAGGTGTGCAGCACCACTGCCCGGCTAAGGTTTTCATGTTTTAGTTGTAGAGTTCACAATATTTGTTGCTTCTATATTTACTTCAAAAATGTGCTTTGGGGATGGATATGCTCAAGATACATTGTATATAATTCTCAAGGAATTAATAAAAATTAAAAAGATGTATTCTTTGTAAGTTGAGGTAGGAGTAACTCAATTGAAAATGACTAAAAGAATACTCAGTTGGAAAACTTATTGAGAACTTCTGCTTTATTGTGGTAAATAAGTCAGATCATAAATAAAAGCAACAGTGTTATAGTTAATATTTAATATATAGTTAATATTCAAAGGGTGACGGTTGTTAATAGATTGGCAAAATGCATGAGCACTATTTTATTTCATGTACTCAGAATAGGTACAGAATGAATAGCACATTGATTGTCATGAACACAAATTCAGGTACTATAAGAGGTGAAAGTTCTTATTTGTGTGGATTTGAAAACCTGATTGGTTTTTCTCCTACGTTTAATTTTTGAATGAAAGATTTGAGAGTAACTTTAATTTTGATTTATATGCTGGTATTGACTTACTATCATGTTTAAGGTTACAGAGTTTAAATGAGATATTGACTGTTAGTCAAATGTAATTTAGTTCCTAATATGCGAATGACTATTTCTCATACAATGAAGACTAACGTAAAGACTTTCCCCGTTACAGGGACCTCGTGCACAGACAGACAGCTAGTGCAGTGGTACAACACATGTCTCTTGGTGTGTATGGGTTTGGCTGTGAAGACTCTCTGAATCACTTACTGAACTATGTATGGCCTAATGTGTTTGAGACATCTCCCCATGTAATCCAGGCAGTTATGGGAGCTCTGGAGGGCCTGAGAGTGGCTATTGGACCATGCAGAATGCTGCAGTATTGCTTACAGGTAGGCTAAATGTGGGGTTTTGTTTGGTTGGTTGGTTTTATACAAGCTCACTTAAAAATCATTTAGTTTATTATGAAGTCAGTCACAACCTAATTGAAGGAGACCCTGCCGAGTGGGGGTTCCCTCCCAGCCCTGATTAGGCACAGACTGCACTCAAACACCTGTTTCCACAGAGAGCCTCTAGTAAGCAGTTCAAGTGGCTGTTTTCTGACTCAGACGAAAAAAGAGGAGCAAATGACCTTGCAGGTGTATCCACTCCCCGCTTTGGTTTTTCAAGACAAGATTTCTCTGTGTAGCCCTGGCTGTCCTGGAACTCACTCTGAAGGCCAGGCTGGCCTAGAACTCAGGGATCCACTTTGCCTCTGCCTCCCGAGTGCTGGGATTAAAGGTGTGCATCACCACCCGGCAGCAGGTGTAATTTTTTGTTACTTTTAAATTTTATTTTATGTGCATTGGTGTTTTGCCTGCACGTATGTCTTGTGTGAGATTGTCAGAAGCCCTGGAACTGGAGTTACAGACAGTTGTGAACTGACATGTGGGCGTTGGGGATTAAACTCGGATCCTCTGGGAGAGCAGCCAGTGCTCTTAACCACTGAGCCATCTCTCCAGCCCAGCGGGTGTAATTTTTAAGAAGAGAAAAGGGAGGTTTGTGTTAGAATGGGCTAGGTTGAGGTGGTCTATTTTGATTGGGCATGTTAATTAGGTGAACCAAAGGGGGGGCTTTTGATTGCTGGACTTGAACACTTTTATAGCTGGACCTTGGAGGTCTGCCTCAGGAGGAGGAAGTGGCCAGATAAGTGAAGAAACTTTGGGGACTAGTTTTAGGAATGGAATGGGGAAGGGCAAGGCCTGTTAGAGCCATGCTCAAGTGGGCTAATATCCTTTACTAATTACCATGGGGGAGACAGTTCTATATTGAAGTAGGAATTAATTTTGTGTTTACTCATTACAATTTTGTGCAGTTTCCAGATTTTTTTTCTTCCCTCTTCAAAGGAAGTACTTGTTTATTTTTTTTGAGACAGGGCCTCACTCTGTAGCTCTGGTTGGTCTGGGACTCACTGTGGACCAGGCTAGCCTTGGACTCCTAGATAGATCAACTACCTGCTTCTACCTCCTGAGTGCTAGGATTAAAGGTGTGTCCCATCACGCCAGCTATAACGAAATATTCCTAATCATGTTCTCACAGTTTGTAGTTGTATTAAAGTTATATTCCTGAAAGTAGAAGTAACTCTACCTTTTAATTATTCTAGGGTCTCTTTCACCCAGCTCGGAAAGTCAGAGATGTGTATTGGAAAATTTACAACTCCATCTACATTGGCTCCCAGGACGCTCTCATAGCACATTACCCAAGAATCTACAATGACGATAAGAACACCTATATTCGATACGAACTTGACTATATCTTGTAATTTTATTGTGTGTCTAATACACAGCTGTTTCACACCTTAAACTTGCTTCGATCTGATGATATAAACTTGTAAACATTGCAGATCAGTGTAGAGCTGGTCATAGGAGGGGGTAGAAATCCAGTAGCATGATTTTTAAATAACTTTTGTTTTTGACGTTAAACAGTAAACGCCAGTAGTGACCAAGGACACAGTGATTACACACACTATACTGGAGGGGTGTCATTTTTTATTCATCTTTATGAAGATTTAGAATTCATTCCTTGTGTTTAAAGGGAATGTTTAATTGAGAAATAAACATTCGTGTACAAAATGCTAATTTGTGTGTGTTTTTGAATATAACTTGTAAAATGCAGAACTTTGGTAAAGTATTGGTTTGTGTAGAATAAGTGGCCTAATTTCAGTTTCTGTCACCTGGTTTATTATGGAACATAGCAGAACACATTATAAAGTGATGGTCTCCTTGTCAAGTCCATTGTTGATGACGAGAAGAGTACCTTTGGGCTGCTCCCCTCAGTGTAGCATAACCATTCCATCACCATAGAAAAGTAGTACTTTGAACTGTCGTGAATATTATTTTGTACTTACATAGCACCTTTCACCTCTTGATTTCTCAAAATGCTTTATGAATGGGCAGAAAGGGTTTATTTTAAGTCATGTCCAACTCTTAATGGGCCTGTGTTTAGGAAGTGGAAAAGCTGTCTATACTTCAAAAGTGTGTTCTTCCCGTTGGGAGTGATGCTAAGAAATGCTAGTATATTAACAGTCTTTGAACTTTTGTGGTAGGCCACTAATCAGTTTATTCAGTAAGCAGCTATTAAATACCTGCCGCATGCTAGCCACTGTCCTTAGGTGCAGGGGCTGCAAAGGTGCATATGACCTAGCTTTTGCCTTTTGAAACCAGTATAATGGAAAAGGGGGCATGCGCCGAGTCCTTATGTACCAGGGTGCTGTGCAATGGTAGAAGCAAAAATGCCTGAATTTGCTTAGTTTGTAGCAATCAGATAATACATGGGTCTAAATGTGCAGCATAAGCCAAAATGCCCCTCCAGTTCTAGAACCAAGCATTAAGGTTCTACTTTAATGTTTTGGGGCAATGAATGAGTCGGTTTTCTTTCATTATTTTATGCTCCAAATTTCTTGTTTTTAAGCCTTTTCTCCCCATCAGTGTTTTGTCTCCCTGTTTGTACTTGTGTGGATTCTAAAGGGAAATAAATTCTGCCGTCGTCAGTGTGACTAGCCTGTGACTCCGCTACTCTCAAACTTCGCGGCGCACTAGGTAGTTTGTGCTCCTCTTAACAAAGGAGTCTCTGGCGGGAGCTTAGAGGAGAAACACCTTCTGCTTTGCTTTTATAAAATTGATACTGAGCATTAAATGTTCCCAGGGAGGACACGGTTCCTTGTTCCTTGTATGTGGTCTGACTTGTTGACAATGTATATCATTGTCTAGTAAAATCAACCGTCAATTTCCAAACCACTTTTTTGTTCTTAGAATTTTTCTAGCCATCCCCTATGCACTTTTAAATATTGCTCTTTTGTATAGTTGATTTCAAATAACCCTTGGTGATTTTTAATCTTGAGAATTAAATACAGTTCTCAAAGTTAAAATTTGATTTTAAACCATTCTTGGGAAAATTTAATGTATTATCAGTTAAAATATTTAACATAGCTTAAGTTTGTTTATCTCCTTGCTATTTATGGAAAATAAGCTTTGCATTAGAAATGCAGATGAGAGGAGACTGCTTACCCCTTGAGTGACATTTTCCTGATGGAGGTCATTTAAGGATGGATAAGGGGGGAAAATGCTAAAGGCTCTGACCTCAAGATTTTGACCAAATAGACCTCCGAGTTTTGGATTGTTTAATGCTCTTGTTAATAAGAAAAGCATTTTGTGATAAACCCTTGTGAAAGATGTTATGTGAAGTTTTAACTCTTCTCAGAGACCTTTAGCACTTGATTTTGATGTTTCTTAAGGCAAAATTTAGGCAGGAAGAATTAATGTTCTTACGGGGAAAGAGGGTGGGTTTTTTTCTGGGCTTTCCCCCATGGGCCATTGCCCTCTGATGGAATTGATTTCTTTGGCTGTTTGATTTTTTTTTTTTTTATATTGTATTTTTAAAATTTGTTGTATGGTGCCCTATGAGCATCACATACCACCAGATAAATAAAATTTATTATATTTAAAGTCTTAGTATACCAGTTCTTAATCTCAGTTGCACTGTGTATGCTCTGTTGTGGTTTACTATTTTAATTAGATAGAGCTCCTTGGGTTGCTGGCCAAACAACTGAAGTTAAATGCTAGGACATGGTTTTCTTCATGAAATTAGGAACTGAGGTGGGCACGGTGACACAGGCCTCTTATCCCAGCACTTGAGGCAGAGGCAGGAGGCTTGCAAGTTTCCCTATCTGGGGGTATATAAGACTGCCAGGAAGCCAACAAAACAAAAATGAAAGTAAGTTGAAAAACAATTGCAGCTCTTATCAGATAAGTAGTCTGGCTCAGGTTTCCAGTGGAATTTACATTTTGTAAGGTTAATTGAAGGGATATGAAGATATAATACAGCAATCCCAGAATTACTCTTTCTGCACTAACATTTTAGGTCACATAAATCCTATGTGTGGGGATGGCCTATAAATGTACCCCCAACTTCCGGCTTAGGTGCCAGGGACATCCCATCTTGTATGTGACCACCAAAAATGCTTCTGGGCATCAACTTTCATCCTTTGTGGAAGTAAAATCTTCCAAGGTTGAGAAACACAGCTAGCTTCAGACTTGGGGGATTTTGAAAGGCTGACTTTAAATTCCTGGTGGTCCTTCCTCTACCTTCCTGGGGCTGGGACCACAGGATCATGCCACTGTGCCTATCTGGCCTCAGACTTTAAGTAGGACTCACGCCTGCTAAAGTATAGGATATGTAGAAAGCATTTTGTTTTAAGCAAAAATGTCTGGAAAGTAACTAGAGGTGATACTTAGCAAATACCTAAGACACCTATTTGGGTAAATGGCCATGTAAGTTCTGTGGAAAGTCAGCTGTGAGAATTTGTTCAGTTTTCTGTCCTCAGAGAATCTGTATGGTACACTTGGGGTCTGGTGCAAGAGTTGAGTGCCATCAGCACCTAAGGAGGCTTGTTGCTCCATTTGGACTGCTGCTGGTCTCTTAAGACCTGAGGTGATAACATGGATACGTTTGGCAGACGTCATAGCAAAGTTAGAACTCTTGAGATCTTAGACTGCATTTACTGTGTACTCGAGCTGCTTAAGTTGCCTTTAAGAGAACAATGTAATTGATCTTCCAATGCCTTGGATATCTCATGTAATCAGCTTTTACAACCCAAGTTAATACATAGCTTTTTAATCTTAAGTTTATGCACTCTTAATGCTTCTGACCCAGAATAATGTATGTGTATGTTGCTGAATGCAGCCAACAAGTTGGAAGCAACCTTATACAACAATGCCTGCCATAAATATTGCAAGCATCCTGTGGATACAGCTTGATAATGTATGTTTGCAGTACAGAGTGTTTCTGGGTCAGATGGATGGGGTCAGTAAAGTTACTTCTTCCCTTGTAAAACTCTTATTAAAGATTTCTGTAAAGTGTCCCTCATTCCTTACCCGTGCGGTGCCTTCTGTGCTATTCAAGAAATGCTGAGGAAAGACCTTTGTTAGCGACAGCAACAAGGACAGAGCACACAGGGAAAGGCACAGAGTTAGACCGAACAGACCGAGCAAAGTAACCACAAACAGAAGACGAAAGGAAAGAAGCAGAGAGTTCAAATTTGGGCACGCTTTTAGTCAAATCCACTCAAGAGGAAGACTTTTTATTCTTTCCCGCAACATTGACACATTTACTCTCAGGTCATCTGTAGTGCATTAACAATACAGACATTGGCATAGGAAGCTGTGGTGGCCTCTGGGACCTCCTTGACCAACAGAGTAACAACTTTACAGTCCACTCTTCCAAAATGATCACTGGGCCTTCAGGGAAGGGGATGTGTGGTGGTTTGAATTACAAATGTCTGTCCCCAGGTGGTGGTAATCTGGGGAAGCTTAGGAGTGGCCTGGTGGGGACGTGTGTCACTGAAGGTGGCTCTGAGGGTTAAGGGCCTGGGCCGTTTCTAGTACGCTCTTGTGGCTTCTTGCTTGGGAGTTTCCTGCCCCTGGCACCATTTTTGCCACGGCTCCCTGCTGTGACTGACTCCTTGGTCACAGCAACAGAAAAGGAACTAATCCAGGGCTGTGATGACAGATGTCCCACTTGGAACCGAGTACTCCATTGTCTCTTGTTTGACCTGACCAGCTGTGGGTCTCTATAATTATCTATTGCAAAAAGAGCTTCCCTGGTGAAGGTTGAGAGATACATTAATTTATCAGTATAAAGATAAGAGCTTAGAGCAGTGTGTTTCAACCTTCTTAATGCTACTGCCCTTTAATATAGTTTCTCATGTTGTGGTGAAACTCAACCATTAAGTTATTTTTGTTGCTACTTAATAACTGCAATTGTGCTACTGTTGTGAATTATAGTGTAAATATCTGATATACGACTCCTGTGAAAGTAAGTTGTTTGACCCCAGAGGGGTTGTGACTCACAGGTTGAGAAACACTGACTTAGCTGGCCACTTTATTACTGTTTATTTAGCAGAATAATAGAGTAGGTTCTCCTAGTGCCTAAGGTTAGCTAGATAATGGACTTTTTTTTTTTTTGTCTTCAAGACAGGGTTTCTCTGTGTAGTTTTGGTGCCTGTCCTGGATCTCACTCTGTAGACCAGGCTGGCCTTGAACTCACAGAGATCCACCTGGCTCTGCCTCCCAAATGCTGGGATTAAAGGCGTGCGCCGCCGCCTGGCTGATAGTGGACTTTTGATGGAAATTAATGGTACCAGGCCCTAGTTCTGTCTTGTGAATCCGGCTTTAAATCTGATCAGACAGTGATTGGTTACTCCCTTAACATTCATGCCACTTTTTTGCCGACATACATGTTTTTCCAAGGCAGTCTTCATTGTGCTCACAGTGTGCACAGTTGGGTAGGACTGCTAGTGAGCATAGGACCTTCGGATGGAAAGGCCAGTTCTGGGTAGGAAGAGGAAAACCCAGTCCCGATTCCACTGGGAAGGAAATATGGTAGGATGTGAGCACATAGTTTGTCCATGCCGTATTAATGTCTAAATACAAAAATACTTCAGTACCTCAGAAACAAGTGGGATAGGTCATCTGGGCAGAACAGACAACAAAGAACAAACCCTGGGTTAGCACTGGCTGCTGTGGCCTTGAAGTGTGCTGCTCTTCATCCTAGGTGCCCCATAGTTCATTTGCAGAATGTGTGTATTTGGAAAGAGATTCCTAAGCACTAACAGGATCTTACAGGGAGCACTGCTCTGGGCTAGTGCCATCATTGTGTGGTCTGCAGATCGGCCTCCGTATCGTGGGGTCCTGAGGAATCGTGGGTTTTGCCTATCCCTACTGAGAATGAGATTCCCGTGTGACTCAAGCGTGTCCCAAGTTGTTGATCCCGCTCCATTCCCAGGCTGGCAGTGACCGGCGATGAAAGGAATTGTCCTAGGGTTTTTATTGCCGCGTAGAGAAACCACAACAACCTTTACAAAGAAAACACTTAATTGAGGGTGGCTGGTGCTCTTACAGTCTCACAGGTTTGGTCCAGTATGATCATGACGGGGAGCATGGTAGTCCGCAGGCAGACATGGTGCTGGAGCTGGAAGTCAACCGACTGTCATGTTGAGGGAAGCTTGAAAAAAAGAGACTTCAAGACTGCCTCACAGTGACACACTTCCAACAGAAGGTGTATGTCATCCAGCCTCCTTCAACAAGACCACACTTCCTCCGACAAGACCACCCTTCCTCCAACAAGGCCACACCTCCTAATAGTGCCACTTGCTATGAGTTTATGGGAACCACGTACATTCAAACCACCACAGGAATGGAAATACCTGTTTGTGCAAACAGCAAGAGGTAATCAGAGTACCTCCAAGAAGGTTCATTGCCAGAGGCAGGCAGATCTCTGTGACTTCAAGGTCAGCCTGTTGTACACAGATAAATTCCAGGACAGCTAGGGCAATGGAAAGATACCTTGTCAAAAAAAAAAATTTTTTTTTTATATATAATAAATAAATAAAACTGTTTTTTCCAATAGAGTTGGCCAGGCCACTGGAGTGAAAGTCCTTGTGGGTGTCCATGGTAGTTTGAATGTAATTGGTCTTCATAAGCTCATAGGGAGTGGTACTGTTAGGAGGCGTGGCTTTGTTGGAGGAAGTGTGGCCTTGTTGGAGTATGTGTGTCATTATGGGGGTGGGCTTTGAGGTCTCCTTTGATCAGGCCCAGCGTGACACTCAGACCACTTTCTGTTGCCTGCAAGATGCAGGACTCTCCGCTGCTTCTCCAGCACCATGTCTGCCTGCACACCGCCACGCCCCACCACGATGATAATGGACTGAACCTCTGAACTGTAAGCAAGCCCCAATGAAATATTTTCCTTTGTATAGAGTTGCCATGGTCATGGTGTCTCTTCACAGCGACAGAAACCCTAAGATACTTTATCCATGATACTTTTCCTGCTACTTCCTACTTGACATTGGTTGTTGGGGAACACCAAACTGCAAATGTTCACGCTTGTGGTGTTAGCCAGCCTGGAGGAGCCAGGCAGCCTGGTAGAGCCCTCTCTGTCTTTGCTGTGAGGGAAGAGAACAGGGTGTCACTACAGCACAGGTGACTGGTTGGTTCTGGCATTAGTCCTCTAGGTGTGCCAATTACTGGCTCTGTGACCTTGGGCAAGTTTTCCAATTCATAAACAGGCATAATAGTAGTTTTTTTTCTTCAGTCGGTGGTGGTCTCAGGTCAAGAGGAACTGAGATTATGTTTATATGTATCTCAGCATCCTGTTGTAATGCTGATAGCATTATTTCATTGTCACGAAGGAGACTTCATGGCTTGAGGAGAGATCACTTTGGAAATGACTCAGATAAGCTCATCAGGGGACATTTAGGATTTCTCTGTCATTTCCAGGGACTGCAGGATATTTTCCAGCCCAGGCTAAGCACCTGAAAAAAAAAAAAGAAAACCCTGAAGTAGCAGTACCAGGGGAGAGTGTCAGAATGCAGCTGTAAGCCCAGTTCTCGGTGAGGTCAAAGGACAGTTTTTCTTCACGTGGTTAAGGGAAGAGTCCGAGAAGGACAGCAGATTTGAGCTTAGCCTTTTAGGAACAGCAAGGTCTGCATTATGTATTTGAAAGGAGTGCATAGCCTTGGTGACGGAAGGGAAGTGAGAAAGCTTGGGCTGGCACTCAAAACAACAAAACAAAACCACTTATATTGCCTCTTGCTAACGAAGGAATCATTCCTGATTCAGGCAGGAATGGGGTCATAAAGAGTGTCATTTAAGCCTCATATGTGGTAGTGCCCATTTGTAATCCTAGCACTCACGAAGCAGAGCAGGAGCATGGAGTCCATGGTCAGCCTTGGCTGTGTAGAGGTTCCCTCCTCATCAACAAAAGTCAAATTAGGAGATTGGCAAAGTGCCTCGGCAGCTAGGAAGGCTGGTGCTCTTAGGCAGGATCTGAGTTCAGTTCTGAGCACTTAGGCAGCTGGAAGTGATCCAGTGTCTTCCCCTCTGGACTCTGAGGACACAGACACCTAGGCGCACACATCCACACATAGGCGTAAAGGAAAATAATTATTTTATGTGTATGTTTTCTGTGTGTGTGTGTGTGTGTGTGTGTGTGTGTGTGTGTGTGTGTGTGTGTGTGTGTGTGCTTGGTATCTGTGGTCAGAAGGATCCGATCCTCTGGAACTGACATTACTGATGGTTGTGATCCACAGTGTGGGTGCTGGGACTCAAACCCAGGTCCTCTGCAAGAGCAGCCAGTGAGTGCCCTTAACCACCAACCCATCTCTCCAGCCCCAACATAAGTAGTTTAAAGCCAACCTCTGATACATGAGGTTGAGAAGTGGCACCTAATCAGCTGGCCCTGGTTTGACCCCAAACCAGTACTTCCATCAATAGATACAGTTAGTATTATTCTATAATCCCTTAACTGCTAACACTGACTTTTGGGCCCTTGGTATTGTAGAATAAAAAACAAACAAAAAAACTTTTTGTGGTACCAGGAGCTGAAACAGCGGCGTCGCACATGCCAGGCATGCTCTCTACCAACAGAAATACATCCTCTGTGTTTTATTTTGAGACAAGTTTCACCCAGCAGCCCCAACTGCCAGAGCCCCCTAGTTCTGGGATTCCAGGTGTGCGTCACTATGCCCAGCTCAGTTCCTCTCTGGCTGTGGCATGAACTGGCTGCCCTGCCTTGGCACATTCAGTTGGTGCTTTTCAGAAAGGACCTTGGCTTCCTCTTGACCTGACTGGCCAGTTCTGCCGGTTCTTACAGGACAGGCTCCTTTGACGGTATGTGGTCTGGTGCTCTGAGAGGCTGGCGCGCCGGGATCCACACTGCTCATCACTCCATGTTCAGGCTTCTCTTCACTCAAGTGTCTCCTCTGCTGGTCTGTGTATGCCATGGGAGCGTGGACTGGACCCCCTACTTATCCTCCATCCCCGGCACCAGCTTACTTGAAGGAGACATATGCCCAGGGACTTGGTGTG